GTTTTTACTCCAGGGCGACGCTCCCCCGTTCCGGAGTCGTTCCGTGCCGGGGCGATCCAGGGATGCGGTGCCGTCTCCCTCGTCCTGGGCACAAGGGAAAAAGAGGGGGATATGTATATATGTATATATTTTAATACCGCATTTTTTCTTTTTTTTTTTTTTTCTCTTTCTCCTGCATAAATCTGAGAACGTATCTTCTCTCAGAGGATGAAGGGTAATACAGGAGGAGTAATTAAAACACTTACTTTAGAAATGGGCTGCGTGGAGCTGATAAGAATTATCTCCCGCATATCAAGGACCCTTTTTCCCCCGAACCATATCACAAAGACAGACAGAAAATGCCAGCAGAATAGGATTCCCCCCTCCCTTTCCCTGCTCACATTTTTACCTCCATTATGATGATAATTCCGCTCCCGCGAAACTTTTCTCCTTCCCTTCCCGAACCGTATTTCGTTCCCCCGCTCCCACAGGGCCCCCACCGGACGCTCCGGCCTTTGTCTTCCCATTAGGACGCTTCGCCCGCAGCAGCTCCGGGGGGCTCCCCGACCCTCCATCGGAAAATCCCCCCGCGCCCCGCGGCGATCCGGCGCTGCGCCCACCGCCGCTCCTGGCGCTGCCCCCCCGGCCAACCCCGGCGCCCGCCGACCCCATGCAGCCTCCGGGGTTCGACGAGGGGACCCCAGCCCCGCATACAGGCACGCAGCGGGGGCAAAAGGCATGGCAGGTGAGCAGTGCCAAGCCGGGGGCTGAGGCGCGGCGACATTTCCCAAACCATTCGTTCGGGCTGAATCGCCCAGTGCCACGAAATTCGTATTTCACCGTTTCTTTTCTAGCTATGACAACGACTAGTTGAGGCTTGTTACCTCTCCCAGCTCCTCTGCCGGCTCTCTTAGTTGCAGGTGCACAGCCTGAAAGACTGAGTTTGGGAAGGGAGACTGGGGAGAAGAGACACGAGGTTAGTGAAAAAAAACAGGCTGGTCAACGCAAAAAATTAAAATAAAATTTTAAAAAAGTCAGTCCAGCACCAAAGAGTGGAAGAAAAATCAATAGGAATATTTAATATCCATAATTGACACCACAAAGCGCTCCCCCAGCCCACCCCACCTTCCTCGGGGTCCGGTGGCAGAGGAGCGGCGCGGAGCTGCGGGCAGAGGAGCCCCGTTCCCAGCGCCGGGGATGCGAGCGTGTGTTGTGTTGGTATAATATCAATTCATTTAAAATATGAAAGTCAAGTCGCGTAGACTGTGACAGCAACCGTAACAAAAGGTGCAAGCAACAGACAATGTGATGTGCTTGTACAGATATTGTAATGATGCAAATGAAGTGGAGGGGACGAGCTGCCTTATTATGTACATAAATACACAGTGGCTCGCCGTGCCATCCTTGAATGCAGGAGAGTGAGAGAGAGAAGGGGAGGGAAAGAAGGGAGAGAGGAAAAGAGAGGGAGGGAGGGAGGGAGGAAGGGAAGGGGGGAAGGAGGGAGGCAAAAAAAAAAAAAAAAGGGCTCAGCTCGAGAAGTGCCGCCAGTTCGAAGCAGAGCGCTCCTCGGGCAGCCCCTCCGCCGGCTGCGCGCACCCACGGGCGGGGGAGGACCGGCGGCCGGAGCCCCCTCCCCAGCCCGAAGGGGAGAGCGGGCGCTCCGCAGGCAGCGGGCGGCGATCCGCGGCGGGAGGCAGGCAAGGTAAGGGCGTGCGGCTCCGCAGCGATCCGCGTCCCTCCGCCCGGGGCGGTTTTCCCCGGGGAACAGAGCGGGGCGGTTTGGTAAAGAACGAAAAAATCCCCGCGTCCCTCCCCGGCCTCCTCCTCCCGCAGCCCCGGCTGGAGGCACCGCAGAGCCGCGGGGCTGTGCTGCTCTGCCCGGCGGTGCCCTGCGGGGAGCGGGGCCGCCCTCGTTCGCTTTTCTTTTCCCTTTTTTTTTTTTTTTCTTTTTTTTTTTTTTTTTTTTTTTTTTTCTTTCCTCTCCTCGGCACCCTGCGGGGAGCGGGGCCGCCCTCGTTCGCTTTTCTTTTCCCTTTTTCTCCCCCCCCCCCCCTCCCAACCCGCCCCAGCTTTCCTTATTATCACCGCGCTAATTATTTAAATCTCCATCTTTCAAAGTTTGCATTTCACCCAGGGCAGCCACTTTCCCGGAGCAAAGGGTGTGTGTGTGTGTGTGTGTGTGTGTGTGTGTGTGTGTGTGTGTGCGTGCGGAACCCCTCGCCCCCTCCCCGCATCCTATATCTCCCCGCTCCCATTGTTGGCAGATTTGGACAGCAAACACAAAGATGCGGGGTTTGTTCTGCCCGGAGAGAGCACCTGCCCGCCGGGAGCCGCCCGGCCCAGTCCCGTGCGGCAGCTTTATGGGGCTTTGCATGATTTAGAATTACCCCAGCACGGCCCGCTCCTCTCTGCTGCTCTACCACCGCTCTCTCTCTCTCTTTTTTTTTTTTTTTTTTGGTGCATGTGCAAAGTCCCCCTCTTTATCCGCCTTTTGCTTTGGGGTGCCGAGGCTGGAAGGCAATAGGGGAAAAAAAAAAAAAAGAAAAAGATATAGCCAACAGGAGCGTGGATTTGACGCGATTTCAATAAGAAAAGCGATTTCCATCAGGGAGGTGCGGGGTTCTCTGTCCGGGGATCGTTCTCCCCGAGAGCATCTTTATGAATTAAAAGCAATTAAAAAAAAAAAAAAAAGAAAGAAAGAAAGAAAGGAAAAAAAAAAATGGAAGAAAAAAACTGTCGGAAGTGTCAGCCCGGTTCGGCCGCTCCGCGGGCGGTGCCGGACCCGCTGCGCTGCGGGGAAAGCAGGGCGACCTGCGGGGCACCTCCTGCGGCGGCTGAGGCCGAAATCACCTTAAAAAGGAAAAAAAAAAAAAGGGAAAAATTAAAAAAAAAAAAGAAAGAAAGAAAAAAAAATCCAGCTGGCTCCTGAGAACGAAATCTTTCGAGGCAGCGGCTGAATTTTTTTGGTATACCTTTCTCCGGATGAACGTATCCGTGTGAAGCCCCCCGCACGCGTTCTGCTTTGGGAACGTGCACAAAAGGCGGTGCCGGGGGGAGGGCAGTGGGGTTTGTGCTCTTTATCCGTGGGCAAAGTGCGGGCAGAGAGGAGGTGAAGTTGTGCGCGGCGGTGGAGGGGCACGGGGGGACCCGAGGTTCCCACGCTGGAGGACAAACCTTGGTGGGGTTGGCGGGGGAGGTGAGAGGGACAGCAAGGCGGCTTCTGCGAGATTAAGGGGGGAAAAAAGGGGGGGAGAAAAAAGCAAAAGAGGTTATTTCGTGGTTTATTCCCCGAGCCGTGTTTGTTTTTTGTTTTTTTTTGTGTTTTTTGTTGTTGTTGTTGTTGTTTTTTTAATGCTGCCTAAATCGTGTCTTGTGGTTAAGAGGTAACTGTGTCATTTTATAACCCTATTAGCAGCCATTAATATGTGCTGGTAATGCACACGGGACGGGGGTGAAGGGGGGTGAGGGGGGGGGGGGCACAGAGATAAAAAAGAAAAGCAGAGGGGAAAAAAATACCGAAAAATTAAAAAAGCAAGAAAGAAAAAAAAAAAGAGGCGGAAAGAGAATAATCCTCCACCCCGCCCCACCCCCCAGAAAAGATAAAATGGGGGGGTGAGGGGGGAGAGGAGGAAAGAGCCCCAGTCCGGGCATGTAAATAAATACTGCGATATTTGTTTTCTGGCTTCGTGTCTGCCCGGGCAGAGGTGTCAGCTCCATCGCTAACTGTTGCTAAAACACGGCGCCGTCTGCCCCCCCCCGGAGCGATGTGACATCACTTGTCAATCACATCCAGAGGACCAGTTGTGCAGCTAGCGCTGGGAAATCTCCCTTATTACAAGAAATAATAATAATGGGACGGCATTAAGAAAATAAAGTTGATAAAAGTGAGGCCGGATATCAGTTAAAAAAAAAAGAGAGAGAAAGAAAAAAAAAAAAACAAAAAAAAAAAACAGGAGAAAAGGGAAAAGAAGGAGAATGTGGAGAGAGCGGGAGCATCGGGGCTCGGCTGCCCGCGGAAGGGGCTGCGGAGCGGAGCGCAGCCGGCTGCCCGCATTGCCCTGCGCGGCGCTCCCCGGGGGAAACTCATTCATCCGTTCCGTTTCCAGCCTCGGGCCCGCAGCTCGGTCACCGGCACCGGGCATGTGAGATAGGAGGGAAAAAGAAATAAAATAAAGCATAAAAAATGACAAATGCTCCAAGGAATGCTCGGTAGGAATCCTCACTATTGAGGAACCCTGTTCTGTTGAGTTGAAATCCGGCTTCTCCCCACCGGAGCTCTCGTTCGTTTTGCGGGGGGTTCAGGGAGGGGGATGCGGGGCTTTGGGAGCTCCGGGAGGCGCCGGGGCAGCGGGACCCCCCGGGCGGGGCCGGGCTCGGGGCAGAGCGGCCGGAGCCGGAGCCCGTTCGGCCCTTTTGTTGTGCTTCTCCCTCCGGCCCCGGGGTAACCCGAGCCGGGGGCTTCGGGGAGAGAGCCCTAGGCGGGCAGCTCCGGGGTCTGCGTCACCATAAATCAAGCCGCCTGATTAATCTTTACAATTTGTCTTTTAAAACAAACACGAACGAATTATCAGCTCGTTAACTGCGATTTTATCACCTGCCTAAAACAAACAGCCCACCCCCTGACCCCCCCCCCCCCCAAACAACAAAAAAAAAAGAAAAAGAAAAGAAAACCCACAAAACTCGGCCTCGTGCCGATGGCAGCCGGGCAGTAATTAAAACATCTGTAATAATCATCATCGGAGCGCTGGGCATGGCCGGGGGCTGCGGCCCTTCTCGGGCAGGGGGATGCCCGCACCCGGCCAGGCTGTACTGCGAACAGAGACCTACCTGCGAGCGGCCGCTTTGGTTCCTATTCGCCCTTTTTAGAAAATAGTCATAATAACAGAAGGAAAGTCTCGGTTTGGGGATATCTATCTGGTTTTGGTAGAGTTATTTCTGTCCGTGGAAAGAAAATACCTTCAGCCGTAGAAGGAGAAGCCGGATTTTTAGAAAGCTCCTCTGTTCTCGCTCTGCCTTTTCACTTTCCTTTTTTTTTTTTTTTTTTTTTTTCCTTCTTCTTTTTTCTTTTTTTTTTTTTTTTTTTTCTTCTGTATTTTCCCCTCGCTTTGTTTCCCTTTCCTCCTCCCTGGCAGCTCCGGCCCCAGGCGCCCCGGGCACGGGGGCACTTTGCCCTCTCCAGCCTCTACCGCCTCCCATCCAGTGGGCCGCTCCCGTCCTGCCCGGCCCGGGGCCCCCCGAGCCCGGTTTGGGTACGGGAGGAGGCAGAGGAAGGGCTGCGGGGATGGGGGTGCTCCACAGCCCCTCCCGGGGCCTCTCGTAGGGGACAGCGGGTGGGGAGCGGGCAGGAGCGAGGGAGCCCCGCTTCGCTCGAGCAGCGCAGAGAGGAAAGGGAGGTTTTTATTATTATTACCGTCGTTATTATTATTATTATTGTTATTATTTTTTAAAAGAAAGTTCATTTCCTGGCGAATTTGGCAGTGGCGGTGACGTCAGAGCCCCGGCGTCGTAGTGACTGGGGCGGTCGGGCCGGGGGGGGTCGCGGCTCCCAGTGCTGCCCGGGGGGGTTCGAGCCGTGCTCCCCTCGCTGCCTCCTCCAGGCACCCCGGGTCGGCCGCGCCGTCGGGTCGGAGCCGCTGCCGTTGCCCGGCGGGCTTTGCTCCACGATTTCCTCGCTCGGAGACTTCAGCGCTCGTTTCCCTTTTCCTCCGAAAGCAGAGGTTTGAGGAACGGGAAGGCAGCGTCTGTGCATCGGGACCTGCGGCAGCTCCGATAGCGCGGCGGGCGTCTGGCTGCGACTTTCCCTGCGTCGGTTTTGGTCTTGTGTTGGTTTTGTTCTGTTTTGTTTTCCTTTCCTGCCCCAAAAGCGGATGAGTCCCGAGGCGCTTTTCGGGAAGACTCGGAGCTGAGCCCCGCTGCGGCCGCGGCACTCCCGCCGTGCGGGGCAGCTCCTGGGCACGCACGGCCCGAAGCGCGGGGGTGACTGCGAATAATGAAACAGTTTAAAGAACCGAGGGGGGAAGGAAAATAAAGGCAGAGCTGCGGCGCCGCTGCCCCACCGGGAGGGACACGCCGCGGACCGCTCCCGGGAGCGCTGCCCTGCCCCGAGCCCGGCCGAGCGCTGCGGACGGGCTCCGGCCGTGCCCGCTCGAAGTGGAGCCTCGCGTTTGTTTCTTTTTGCCGTTTTCCAACTAACGTGATGCCATCAGCGACCGCGCTGGGCTCCGTCCCGCTGTGCCCCGTTAGAGGGGGGGGGGGGGGAAGCCGTGCCGCCTCCTTCTCCCCGGTGCCGGCCTCCATCCCTGGCCCCACGCATCCCGGCGGCAGCGCATCTCCGCGCCCGGGCACCCCTGACGGAGCCGCCCCCGGCGCCGAACCCTTCCCGCCCCGATCCCCCCCCCATCCCCACGCACCCAGCCGGGACCCCCCTATTCCGCCGTCCCCGCCCCACAGGGGCGTGCAGAGCCCGGGCGGGGAAAGCCCCCACGGCGCTGCCGGGCGAGGATGCTGCGGGCGGGGGCAGGGGGCGGAGGAGGGGGTCCGCGCCGCGCCCCCCCGGGCCGGCTCCGTTTGGGGCCGGGGGTGCGGTTGGGGGCGGTGTGGGGCGGCGGGATTGGCTGGCCCGGCCGCCGGCCCTGCGCGCCCCGGCCCGTCTGCGGCGCCGCGGCCAGCTGGCGCCAGCGCTCATATAGGATGCGCGGGGATGGGACCGAGCCGGCCAGAGCCGCGGCTTTGCCATCTGAGTAACACCCTCTATCCAACCTCCCGCTCTCCTCCTCCCGCGCTCGCTCGGCTTTTCCCCCCTTCTCTCTCCCTCTCGTTCTCCTCTCTCCCGCAGCCTCCGAGCGGGCACCCGCCGCCTCTCTGCCTCCCGCCCCGGGTAAGTGTGAGGCGCGGGGGGGCATCGCCGCTTTCCCCCTCCTCCCACCCTTCTGTCCCCGATCCTTTTCTCCTCCGTCCCTCGTTTTCCTTTTGTGTCAGCCCAAGTTCTCGCTGGGACTCTATGGGATCTGCCGTCCTTCCTTCCCCCTCTCCCCTTTTGAAGCCAGCTGGAAAAACTCCTGTTGACGTTTGTAGCGAGAGGGCTGGGGGGGGGAGGGAGGGGGGAAAGGAAGCTTTTGGATTTTTTTTTTTTTTTTTTTTTTTTAAAAGTTCGAAATGAGATCTGTTTATTTAGTGACGGGAGGGCGCAGGGTGAGGAGTCGGGGGAGCAGATATTTTAGGAAGGGGGAGGGGCTCGGCCGCCACCTCCCTATACATTTAGGGGGGACCCGCTCACCCCGTGTCTCTTACAGGTGCTGCCCCGCCATCCGCCCGCGGACAGAGGAACGCGTTGACTCCGGGGCCCACCCTGCATCCTCCCGAGGGCGATCTTCGGACACCCGACGGCTTTCTCCTAAACAATCGCCCGTCTGCTAAACACCCCCGGTACCTCCGCCTGTCGACCCCGACCGCCGCTCGCCGCTGCCCCGCGGGTGGGCGGGAGGGGAGGCCCGAGGCCATGGAGGTGGCCACGGACCAGCCTCGCTGGATGACCCACCACGCCGTGCTCAACGGGCAGCACCCCGAGAGCCACCACCCGGGACTGGCTCACAACTACATGGAACCAGCGCAGCTCCTACCTCCGGACGAAGTCGACGTCTTCTTCAACCACCTGGATTCCCAGGGCAACCCTTACTACGCCAACTCTGCCCATGCCCGGGCCCGGGTCTCTTACAGCCAGGCACACGGTAAATGAGCATCCCGCTCCTCGGCCCCTTCCCCAGCTCTGCCCGTTCCGACGTGTGGGTGGGGAGATGTTCTTGCGGCCGCTCCGGTGTGTCGGGGCCAGGGGGGAAAGGCGATGGAAGGAAATAGAACAGAAAGGGAGGCACGGGTAAATTTTAACCCTAGCGATGACCGGGCATTGGCGGAGGGGAGGGAAAGAAGGGGAGGGTGAGAGAGGAAGGGGAAATAGTGTGTGCGGAGGCTCAAACTTCTCAGACACGGCTGCTTCCCGGATGCAAAATACGAACAGATTCGAATCGGCAATGGATTTTACCTGGGGTGTTTGTAGGATCTGAAGAGAGAGCGCTGTGGCAGCTCGGAAGACAGCACAGAAGGGGGTTTGCTGCTTGCTGTAGGGTGGGGTGGGGTGGAAACGGGGGTCCTTTGCTCCTTCCCCGGCTGGCTCTATTTCTTCGAGTTTTCCCCGGGTGGTTGGGGTCTCCCTCGGAGGGCATGCAGATAAGGGGCTGTTTGCAGACTGTGGGTGCTGCTCTCTGTGCTGGGAAATCTCTCCCTGCTCCGGCTCCCCTGCAGCTCTCTGGGCCGCGAGTTGGGATATTTCACTGATCCCTGACGCTCTTGTGTCCCTACAGCCCGCCTGACCGGGAGTCAAATGTGCCGGCCTCATCTTATCCACAGCCCCGGGATCCCTTGGCTGGACAGCAGCAAGGCGGCACTCTCTGCCCATCACCACAACCCCTGGACCGTCAACCCCTTCACCAAGACGCCCCTGCACCCCTCGGCAGCCGGAGCACCCGGGGCCATCTCAGTGTACCCCGGCAGCAGCACGTCCAGCACCGCCTCCGTCTCGTCGCTCACCCCGGCCTCTCACTCGGGCTCCCACCTCTTCGGTTTCCCCCCGACCCCTCCCAAGGAAGTGTCTCCGGACCCCAACTCCACCAGCGCTGCTTCGCCTTCGTCCTCCGCTGGGGCCCGACAGGAGGACAAAGACAGCATCAAGTACCAAGTGTCGCTGTCAGAAGGGATGAAGATGGAGAGCGCCAGCCCGCTCCGCAGCAGCCTCACCAGCATGGGGGCCCAGCCCTCCACTCACCACCCCATCCCCACATACCCCTCCTACGTGCCGGCTGCCCACGACTACAGCAGCAGCCTCTTCCACCCGGGCAGCTTCCTGGGGGGCCCGGCGTCCAGCTTCACCCCCAAGCCACGAAGCAAGGCCAGATCCTGTTCGGGTAAGCGGAGCACCCCTGCCATGCATTGATGCTATCCCTTGGGTGGGAGGACTAAATTTAGGGCCGTTGTGCTGCATGTGTGCGTGTCGTGGTTGGCTGTGCTTGCAGTATACAGTTGAAGCCGTAGGCGGCTGTAGGGCCAGGGTTTGTGCTAGCTCTCTTTGGGACAGAAGGGCAGGTGACTGCTTGGCCTCACTGTGCTGCATTTTTAAACGGAGCTTGTACCAGGCTTCCCTGGTGCCATCGTGCTGGCAGCGGCTGCTGAGCCCTGGGGCACTCGGATGGGGCCGAGGGACACGGAGTGAGCAGTGAGTGGCGCAGCAGATCACACTACAAAGAAGGATTTATATGGGGAAGAATGTCAAACAGCCCCCGGCAGGCTGTGGCCCCCGAGGGCTCACGTTCTCCCGAAGTGGTTAACCCCCCATCCCCCCCCAGTTCCACGTGGGGACTTTCTGCTCAGAGTTGTTTCCCCTTTGACAATTTTTCACGTCTCCTCTTCAATAAGAGAGAAGGCCCCAGCGCAGGGTGAAAGCGAAACTTCCCCGGCCGCTCCGTGCCGGCCCTATTTCCTTCACATTTAAAGGAGCAAAAGTTCAAATATAGTTTACATACCAGTGCTAAAGACTAAGGTGTCCAGTCATCGCTAACTTACTGCAGCCCGACCAGAAAACACTGCTTCTTTCCTGATCCACACATCTCTGCTCCGTAGTGCAGAGCTTTCCACAGATCTGCCTTGCATTTCTACCTGGCAGTGCAGCTCCAAATCAGCAAACTGCGACGGTTGAAATGCTGATCGCGCTTTGAAATGACCCCAGTTGTACAACCAGGAATAGAATTAAGGACATTTCTGTAACTCTGACCTTCCTGCTTTAGAATCAGCATCAGAAGGAAAAGATGTACAATGTATTTCAATACAGTGTACTGGTACTGAATTAAGATAGCCCTTGAAAATTAGCAACCATATAAGCTGTTGTGTGTGTGTCCTTAAATATCATTGAATACACCACATGCAATTATTTTTAAAGCAATTCAGAAACGTGCTCCTTCACGAGTTTTTTGCAACAAAAGCATCAGACACTTTACAGCCTCACCAGCTCCGATTCAAACGGCCCCTCTGAAGGGAACACCAAGTCACTACTTAAATGCAGTTGCTGCTACATGCATGCATTCTTTTAGCGGTGCACAGCGCAGTAAGAAGATGCAATTAGCAGCCTGAGCCCCTGACTCACAAACAGACCCAAGGCCCCCATCTCTGAAGATAACCGGATCTCGAGGAGCTTTTTATTTTATCCTGTGGTCGCCGGCAGCTTTATTAAATGGGGGAAGCCTGGGGCTCCGTTGTTTGTTTTTCCTTTTTTTCCTGCAAGGGAGCCCCCCGTGCTGGGGGGAACTGGGGAAAGTTCGTGACCACCCGGTGTTTTTGTAGGAAAGCTCAGGCTCACGACACGGCGACTCCGGCAGCTTCCTGCCCAAGGAGGGACAAAAGCTCCAAACGCAGCACTGAGAGCTCCCCTCATTTTTCACCGTGTTGTTTAAAAGCCACCCACTCCCTAGATTAAAGGAGGCACAACCCCGCTGAACTCGGCGTGGCCTGCTGCAGTTATTAGCAAAAGGAGAATTTCCTCTCCGCTTAAACGCTGTAGGATTTGCATACACTATATGAAGAGATTTCTATATTAAGCAGACCTGCCCTCGAAGCGTCGGAGGCGAATGAACTTCTAGCAGAGAGCTTTCTGAGGCACAGACACACGTAGGAGCTGCATGCTAGGTTTCCGTAGGGCCGCTCTGCCATGCCGTGGTTCCCATGTTGTGCTGAAGCACAAAGCAGAAACATGGGTAGCTGCTCCGCACTAAATCTAGGGGGAAAAAGAGACAGAAAAGGACTTTTTTACAATAATTCCCAGTGTCAGTGCTGGAACTGAAGTTTCTGAAAGATCAGTATTGTGCCTTTGGAACAAAATTCACAACACAGCCTTTGGCACGCCGTGTCTATTCCCAACCTGCTCAGCTTTGCTTTCCTGCCTGGTAGTGTTTGCAGCAAACAGAGCAAGCCCAGAAGAGGAGGTCTTTCTGCTTAGATTTAATTCTAGGAAACCCATTTCTTTGGTTCCTTTTTATCTTTTGTTGTTGTTGTTTGTTTTACGTCTTGTGTGTTCACAGGTGTGTGTGTGTGTGCATGGCAGAAGGCACAGCCCGAGCACGGCAGTGCTGTGGGTGCGGGAGGGAGCTCTTGTTTTCCCAGCACCAACACCGGGTCAGTCCTTCCCTCCCCACGGGGAGCAGGAGCTGATCCCTGCTGGTGGCACGCACTACTGGCGGTGCTCTCGAGGTCCCCGCTGCATGCGCTGCGCGCGCCCCTGCTGTCTGCCCCTGCTTGAGCTAACGCGGTTTTGACTTTCGGAAAACGCCTAAAGGACAATGCAAAAAGCTTTTGTGAATTTGTTTTTAAAGAAAGAAATCCGGTTTCTTCGTGTTTCCATTTAGAAGGCAGAGAGTGTGTGAACTGTGGAGCAACCGCTACCCCTCTCTGGAGAAGAGACGGCACCGGGCATTACCTGTGTAACGCCTGCGGGCTCTACCACAAAATGAACGGTCAAAACCGACCTCTCATTAAACCCAAACGAAGGCTGGTAGGTGTCTTTGACTTTCCTTGGGTTGGGGGATACATGTGGCAAAGGGACCACACGCAGGCACGAGCCTGACGCGTCCTACCGTGCTCGGCCCCATAGTCACAGCAGGGTCAGGCCATGCCTGGGGGCAGATCCCTCCCACCCCCCCCAACGTGCCCTGAGCCCCCAGCCGAGCTTCTGCGCGGCCAGGCCAGCGGGAGATCGGGTATCCGTCTCCCCGTTTATCCTCAGATGACAGCTTTTAATTTAATTCCTCATTCATTTGGCCTCCTGGGACGTTTTGGGAGCGAAAGGGTTATGAGCGTGAATGTTCTCCACCGTGTGCTAAAAAAAAAAAAAAAAAAGGAAAAAAGAAAAGTTCCAGCTCCAAAAAGCAAAACAAATCAGATGAGTCAAAGCTACTGCTCCCTACTTCATAATTATTTGTATGAAAGCCATGAAGTAATTTTCACTCTTATATTCTCTGGCAATACTAATATTGGTTCCCTCCCCAGACAATCCCCTACTGTTTAAAAAAAAAAAAAAAAAAATCCTATTATTTTTCCATGGAGTCACCTATACTTTGTATTTTCATTTGAGCCATTTAAAAAAAATGTCCTTTCTGAGCTCCTGGTAGTAGTTTCCTATCCGGATATCTGTACGTTAAAGATAAGGAAACTTTGTGTATCTGTTTCCTGACTCTAAAAGCTTTAGAGAGTTTCTATAGGCGAGCCTTGCCAGTCATGCTCGCTGTTTTGAAATTTCTAATACACTCTATTCCACAAATAAGGCGTAAAATGCTAAGAATAATAAATATATTTTTTTGGAGCTTTGTGATTTATGGTGCCCAAGTCCCTCAGCTACTCGTGGGCACGTTTCAATGAGGTTTGGAGAGCAGAAAATTGGCACCGCTGCTCTGACGCTGGGATGAGATGCAGAAGATTTGTCGTGAGTCAGAATTTCAGCTATGCAGGCTGCTTAGTGACTGACACACAGAAAAATGTTAAGACAACAGTGTAACATTATCGACTCCCAGGCTCAAGTACTTTGCAGTCTGAATGGGACAGGCCGTAGAGCCCAGCAGTATCAGTGAGCCGCGTCCCGGCCACAAACACAGCGCTCCACCTTCCCCTGTGCTGGGAGAGGGTTGCACTTCGTTTTCTGTACTTACCCCACTTCAAGCAGACAGAGAGCTTTTCTCTTCATTTGGTTGTTTGTTGTTGTTGTTTTAATTGATTTACAGCTTTGTTTATTGCCCCTTTTTCCACTGTAGTTTGCTTGTTTGCAGAGGAGAGATGGCCATCTTTGGGAATGCGTTCATCTGACATGCAATAGCAAAGCCATCATTAATGTCAGTGCTCGGAGGTCTGGCATTAATTGTGTTTGGGTTGCATGAGCGTACTTGCAGTAGGGGGTACCCCTTCTCTCTGCCTTCGGCCTGTTCTCACAAGCGAGCGGGGGCTGAAATATACAAGTCCCAGAGGGCTGATTCCTGCTTTAAGCTGCTAAGCCGTCCACCACTTTGGGAAAGTTACATAGCTGGAGTGTAAAATCAGTGAGTGCCTACAAACCCAGCGCTGCCCTTCTGCGAGCCGGGTCGGTCAGTGCTCAGCGTTCTCATACGGAAAGGCCAAACGCTGGGACGCCGCTGTCGGCTCGCAGAGGTGCTCAGTGCTTAATGCAAACCTCGCTGCCGCTTCACCGCATGGTTCTGGTGGCTAATTGCAGAAATACCTAGAGAGCAAGGCCCTGGGGAAATTAACGCCATTTATGTGCGTTAGTAAGCAAACTGCGCTAATTTAAGAAAATATCGAGTCCTCTCCTTTAATCCAATCGCACAAATTGAATTGTGTTCCGCCTGCTTCCGGAAGCAGAGCTGCAGCTTTCTTATACAAAATCATTTCCCAGAATTTGGGGTGCCACTGACAGCGCTTCCATCCAACGAGCAGCGTGTTGTCGTAGGGCCTGCTAGAGAAGGGCAGAAATCACCCGCTGCCTGCTGTTCCGCTCTTCCTGCTCTTGTTCTGGGAGGTGGGTGAATGTTTGGGATATTTTTGCCCCCCCTCCGCCCTGGTTTCGGCAGAACAATGCTGTTTAAATGATCCTTTTATATTTTTTTAAAGATGGTTGGCTGAGGGCTTGTCAGCCCAGAGACTGAGTAGGGACAGAGGCGGCAGCTGGGTCAGCGCAATCATTGCTTCGAGGCATGAAATTTGGTTTGCTAAATATTTAAAGAAAGTTGGAGCCAGTTTTGTTTTCTCCCTTTCACTTGTAAATGGAAACTGAATTTTCAGTGATGGCTCTGATAAATACTGCACCCAGCTAAGCAATGCGGTTGGTTTTCTTTTGTGGACATCTTTAAAGGGACAGAGGAGGTGAAGAGAAAAAAAAAAATCACATTCTTTAAGATCATTACCTTTTTTCAAACTGGCACTGACTTAGGTTGGTCACTTAAGAAAAAGGGGAGGGGGGGGGGGGGGAGAAAGAAAAATAATTTTCCTGAGACATTCTAGAATCCTGCAAAGGGAAACCTTGAGCAAATCAAACATCGATTTCCCCCTCCTAAAATTTTTTGTTCGGGGAGTTGAAGAGACGCATTGTTTCCTCTGCACACATGGTGCCATGGGGCTCAGTGCTGCAGCCTGCATAGGAGAATACGTGCATTAAACAAAAACCCAACGGCCACAGCATGCGAAACTGACAGGAGCTTTCGTTCAGCCCCAACGCTCTGCAAAACTCGGTATAGATCTACCCAACCTAAATATCGAGCCCAAGTTGACCTTTCTCATGATCCCCCCCCTCCTCCTGCTGATAGATTTTTAATTTTCTCTCTCTTTTGGTTAGTCAGCGGCCAGGAGAGCAGGGACGTGTTGTGCCAACTGTCAGACAACCACCACGACCTTATGGCGACGCAACGCCAACGGGGACCCGGTTTGTAATGCCTGCGGACTCTACTATAAACTGCACAATGTGAGTATTTGCTCATCTCATGTGTCGCGGGGATTGATGTCTTAACTGCGCGCTGTACACTGGGCTTTTATTGGTTTTGGGGGGTTTGGTTGTTGTTTTATTCCTTCCCTCATCTCCAAGGTTCCCCTGGGGAGTGACAGCCATTCTTTGTCGGCATAGTGATGCTAAGTTCGGTGACATTACAATGTATGAGCTTGGCTTCTAACGCTTGGGCAAAGCAGGCAAAATTGAGCATGACACTTGGTTTTAACTAAGCGAGTTTTGTGCATCTTTTGGCCATTGGAAATGGGCTCTGTGCAAGAATTGATCCCAACGGAGCATCTTCGTTTTGATTTCAAAATAATAATGCATCTAAGGCTTTGTGTTACTGTCATTTGTTTAAAAAGAAATTTGTTCTAAAAGCAGGAATCACTTGTCCTGTTGTACAGTTATTTAGACTACAGGTAACTGAGGTTATTGGTCTTGGGTTGTTCACATCTTAGGTCTGAATTTAGGTCAACGTGTGCCTCCTGGTTTGATCTCATTCTCTTAGGAAATGAATGACTGAGGGCAAGCCTACGGGAAAGAGAGTCATCGGCTGCCAAATTCAGTTCAATTTGTTTTTCATGTCTAGGGTTTTTTTGTGTGTGTGGTTTTATTAAACAAACCAATATAAACAAGTTCTGCAGAGAGAAACACCATTTTTTTTCTTTTTTTCTTTTTTTTTTTTTTTTTGGCCAGAAAAAGGTCTCCATCCAGGAAAAACACATGGGGGCTGTCCAAATATTTTCATTTTTGCACAATAAAGTCATTTTGTCGGCATGAGCCTGATTTTCTCATTTCTTGCAGGTGAACAGGCCTCTGACCATGAAAAAGGAAGGAATTCAGACCAGGAATAGGAAAATGTCCAACAAATCAAAGAAAAGCAAGAAAGGCTCCGAGTGTTTTGAGGAACTGTCCAAGTGCATGCAAGAGAAATCGTCTCCTTTCAGCGCTGCTGCCCTTGCTAGTCACATGGCACCTATGGGGCATTTGCCACCTTTCAGCCACTCTGGACACATCCTACCAACACCTACCCCCATCCACCCATCTTCCAGCATCTCATTTGGACATCCGCACCCATCCAGCATGGTTACAGCCATGGGATAAAACCTGACGACCAAGAGACCCACCCAGAGATTGAGAACATGGGGCTTTACCTAAGACGACACCAAGTAAGAAAATGTTCTGCCAAGAGGAGAATGTAGGGATGGCAAAAAAGGGGATCTGTGCTCCCGTGTGGTTTAACTCTTCATGCTGGACTAAAGCCTTGCAAGAGATGGGTCTTCTGCAGAAATGTGTAGTGGTGCCTGTAATGCACTTTGCCCCCTCAGGTATAAGGAAAAGAAGAACTCACCTGGTCGATATTCAGTTGTCTAGCAGAAAGCAAAAGGTGGCAGAAGCAGAAAGAAGAGGCTGGAACTGGCTTTCCTTTCTCTCTTTGTTATTACTGTGAATATTGTGAAGAGATATAAGCAGCCTCCCAGGATGGAATCGGCTCACTGGAAGCCGCACATGCTGGATTTCTATTGTGAACTCTGTTTGGGGAGGGGGAAGAAAAAAAAAAAGAAAAAAAAAAAAAGGATGTCTTTATAAAAAACTTAATTTTTAAAATGAAATCAGACAGAAAGTCATATTTATTTTGCTCTTGTTTTCCACAAAAAGCCTCAACCCCTCTGAGTGCATGTTTTTGTGCTGTTGGTTGCAATGGCTACTACCCTGTATGAAAATCTGCCTTCGTAAATATGGGGAGGGACAATATTCATTGGCCCTCCTGGATTTGCTCCATCTATCTTCTGTACCAAAATATCCCCTAGGAAGGGAAGAAAGAGAGGGTGGGCAAAGCGAGAACTGTAGCCGCAGCATGGGATTTCAAAGCGCCCAAGACGATGATTATTTTTGACACAATTTCTTCTTTCATGTTAGGGAAAAGAATGACTTATTTTAAAAAACAACAACAAAAAAACCCACACAACAGCCCCCCTCCCAGCTACCATATCATTCCTTGAACCAGACAGCTCCATCAGACTAACTGGTGGGAAGACGCTCCCGGAAGGCAGTCCTGCACTAGCGAGGGCTAAAATACCAAATCGCTGCAGCTAACATGCAGCAAAACAACAGAAAAAAATGGCAGGGCATAAACCCATCCAACTCACAGACTGCAGAGGTTGAAGCATTTTGTTCTGTTGTGTTGGCAGCTGTTGCTTAAAAAAATGCAGCTCAGCTCTTTGGGTAAACTTAGGGCAGCGCGGCAGCAGGTCCGCACGCAGCAAGGCAGCGCGTGCTGTCTCAGGCATCCAGCCCCCATGGACTTCGCAGGGAGGAAGGGCAGAAATGAGGTTGAGATCACTGGAGAGGGGAAAGGGAGAGACAATCAGTTTGAGCTTCACACATCCGTCAAACCCCAGACGCAGCGACAGCTGATGAGATGAGGGAAAGCGCCGTACGGCCGCCTTCCGTAGTGCGTTTTGTAAGAAAAGAGGAAAAAAAAGAGAAAAAGAAAAAAAACCTTAGAGCTCCCATTATTAAACCACGTTGTACGTAAATGATCGAAAACAAAGCTATTGCCAATGTGAAGTGTATTCTATTGATTGTTATGATCTGATGCCTCTCGTGAACACAAGCTCCAGTATAACATACAGTGTACATATTTAGCTATACTTCTGATGAAAATGCCCCAATGAGCAGAGGGGTTTGATAATGTAAACCATGTAAGCTTAACTCTGTGACAAGCTTCTTTCTTTCTTTTTTTTTTTTTTTTTAACTTTTAACTTTTTTGTTGTTGATGGGGTTGTGTTTTTTTTTTGTTTTGTTTTTTAATATTTTGGATCAAGCCAATTGTATCTTTACTGCAACAGTCCTGCTTTAAAGAAAGAAAAAACACAACAAAACAAATAAAAACAGATGTATGTTAATTTTCTTTTTCTAACCATGTAATTCGAAAATTTGGTAATGAATTAAGAACCAGGCAGACATGGAAAATCCTGCTTGCATCCTTTTCCTGGTCTGCGTAGGCATATAGGTGCACTTTGTAAAGAAGTGGAAACGAACGGGAAAACAAAAGCAGTTGGGAGAAATCACAAACCTTCTTAATCTACTGAGGGAAAAAAAGAATCGGATCCTTTTTACTTTCTACCTTTTACAATGGTACAGTTGTACATTATTTGTACCCGACTCAAATTTCGGTAGGATTTGTGCAGGGGGTGGGGAAGGGACGTGGGTGGAAGACAGGGATTACTGATACAGTTGACAAAGTGCAATATATTGTCGGTCACTGCAGCATAGACAATGGCAGTTGAGATTTAAATTATTTTGTACTTGTATCAGCATATTAAAAAAAAAAAATCTGCAGTATTTTCTGTTTTTATTTTAATTTTTTTATTTTGCTTATTTTTGGATTAGTGAACTAAGTTATTGTTAATTATGTACAACATGTTTATATATTGTCTGTAAAAAGCGTATGCTTTCCTCATATTCCTTCAAGGTGAATATTGCTAAGAATAATAAAATACCTTTTTTGTGAAATGACCCGTGCCCAGTTTTCTGTCACACGGGCTGCTTTCAGCAAGGAAAGGTTGAGTTGGCAAAGTCGTACTGTAGATGTGGAAAAGCATCCCAATGGGTTTCAGGGCAGAGCCTTTGTTAGACCAGGTACAGCTCGCTGTAGGCTCCCACTCCAGTGTGACAGGCAACACCACGAACACAGAAATCTGTTTCTTACCATTTGGTGTCATGCATGGCATGAAAGGAGCAAGGGGAGACAGCCAGCCCGGAGCCCCTCTGCTGCCTGTGCTCTGGGGATGAGGGTTTACCGCCGGACAGCTTTCCCATGGCCAACACTTGTGCTTTCATCACATGCTCTGGTCTGACCCACACGAGGAACTCTTGGGGCCGAACAAAGCGAAACAAAGCCCTGCGAGCGTCCCTGCCATGCGCAGGGGTGAGTGCTGCTGCCACTGAAACAATGTTTGCAAGAAAACTGCTAATGAACTTTGGGTTTCCTCCTTCGACCCCCTGGGAGTTGCAGATCACTTCTGTGGAAGCCAGCCTGGGATAACTCCTTGCTTATTAAGAAAAGAAAAAAAAACACCAGTTCCTTTTTCAGTGAACATGTGCAAATTCCAACCTTTCATATCACTGCCTCTTAGCGGCGCAGCCTCCTCCCCGGCCCCGTTTGCAGGCCCAGCTAGCAAGCAGATGACACGGGGCCACAGCAGCTCTGGATGTGCTGCACAAAGCCCACACGGCCAGGACAAGGCCTTCCTGTGCCATTTCAGACGAGTTAATCATCTCTCTAAACTTGTTCAGCGAGGCTTAGTGCAAACACCCATTAAAAAAAAACAGCAATTTATGGCATACCATGCAAGCTTCATTTACGAAGAAACACGTTCATCCTCAAACGGGTTTAAAATGGGGTTATAAGCAAAGTCACCCACCCTTGCTCCATATTTGAATGCCAGACACACTCTCAGGAGGAGAGAACAGGAGCAGCACCAACCACATCATTTAAAAAAAAAAAAAACCTTAGAATAATCCAACCACTTGCTTTTGTTGCACATTACACAGCCAAGCCCAGGCTTTGATGAAGGTTCACCTCTGTGTTGCCTCTCTGTAGGCATCTCATGGGGTCTCTGCTATCTGCTGGCAGCACTGGGGCCGTGCTCCATTCCCATGCTGGGATGGACCCGGTTCCTGCAACACAGGTAACAAACAGTGCCACATTCATTAGGTGCCACTAAGCAGCAAAAGATCAAAACGTCCCTCTGCAACGTACATGTCGTGTTTGTCTCCAGACATTTTGCAAAGCAGAAGGAAAACAAACAGCAGGGAATGGAAATGGAGCAAGTGTGTAAAGTTCAACACAAAGTGGAAGCACAGAGCTGGTACACAGACAACAAATTGGGATGGATGGTCCTTTCACTACTGCCAAATACTGGGGGACAGGCTTGTTGTGAGGAGGGAACCCTGACATCACTTGCCTTTGGTTCCTGTTGTTGGGATTATTGTTTTAAGCTGTGCTTAATTGTCATGTCTCCACAGCCACATCAAAAGCCAAGAAGATTAGGTTACAGGGAGTGTTTGATGTCAAAATACAAAATAAATAAAAGGAAAGCTGAAAAGGTAGCCTATTTTCCATGATGTCTAGTGAGGTTTTAGCCTCGATTTTTATTTTTTTTTTTAATTTTTTTATTTTTTTTGCAAAGGTTGCACTTCTTTAGTGGCAATACTTTATTTGCTTCCAAACAACTCTACCGCTTTCCTGAAGCAGCTTGAAGGGTTAATAGCCCCCCTTTGATGGCAAACATGGTATAATTAACGCAAACTTCTTAAGTATCCTGGTGACCTGTAGATGGCCACATGAGAATTTTGTTATTTACTGACTTGCCAAACGTTTATTGCTTATAGCAGGACAAGTGGGAAGCAGGCATTAATTCTGATGCTGTTATCTGTGATTGTGTGTAAAGTTCATAGCAGAGACTGCCTATATGTCAACTGCAATTAAACATTTCCCAATTTTTTTGAATGAATTTCACGTTGGTGGAGGGGATTGGACTGGCAGCCTTGCAAACTGAAATGCTGCACATGGCACAGGCACAACACCTCACAACTTCCCCTTACCTGCAAGCTGAAAAAGAAAAGTCTGGCACTGGGGATCATTTGATCCTTGGCTTCTTCACTGAGATGGTCAAATCAGTACTGACAATGGCATGGCGCAGAGGGAGATTTTGTGGTGTGACATCTCCACTTGGAAACCAGCCTGAAAAATACCAAAAACAGAGCCAGAAGTGGCTATCAGGTGAATATGTTCATTTATTACCAACCTGGACTGGATTAGAACACATGACCTAGAAGTAAAACGTTTCATTTAGCCCAACTCCCTGGGCCATCTGGTCCTCGCAAGTAAACATTTCTAAGTGAGATTAAGTGACTGTTCTTTAAGCATGGTGATCTGAGTGCAAACCAGGCTGCTCTGGATCTAGCAGATCAAACCTCAGCAGCTGGCTGGTGCCGATTCAGAAACACCCTTTGCTCAAATGGCACCGGGTGCAATTCTCTGCAGTGATTCTTGGTTCAGGAAAAAAAAAAAGAATAAAATTAGCCACCAGGTAACACAATAGAGAATCAACCCCTCCTGCAAGGGAAGGTTTCTACATACCGCAGGGGGAGGGAACTGCTACTGTTTGGACTATAAAAACTGCATCAGGGAAGTATAATGGTAACCCAGCCTATGCGGCAATGCCAAGGAGAAACCAGCTACCTGCCTACATCCTGCTCCCATGTCCATATGGTTCTGCGCTGTGGGCTGCAGGGAGTTACTCGCAGGAAAGCTGGCTCTTGCTTATGAAGGCCAATGGCATCCATAAATCATTTGAAGTTGGGCCTGTCAGTGGCAGAGCATGAGCATGGACTTGTTTCTTCTGAACACTTCAGGGCTTCACTAAGATCTTCCTCAGTTGCTTTGTTTTCCTCTGAGCTCGACTCCTTGTGCCCACCCTCCATCACAAGAGAGGATGCAGCAGATTTCTTTGCTTGGGACACAAGAGTAAAAGAACATTTATGTTGACTGTTTTGATTATGATTATCTTCCACTCACTCCCACCTACCCACAGTGGCATTTTGGTAGCAGGTTATACTGCTGGAGGGATTTTTGGGTGTCTCTGGAAACTCCTAAAGGATTTTACTGTAAAATTTGCATTCATTTACCTCCTCCTACTGTAATTCAGTTCTTTCTCTAATCTTTTTCTTTCCCCTCTCCCTCCCCCCCCCCCCCCCCGCTTTTTGTAGCCCCGAGTAAAAGTACCCCATTTTGACAGTTGACCTGTCAGAAGAGAAGGGAGCAGACAGCCCCACATCACTCAGGTAACCTCTGTGCCCACAGGCGCCCTGTGACACTGCAGCTCTCCAGCCGAGCGCAGATCCAGCACAGGGAACACGCATCCCAGGAGACAGAGCACCGCTCTCCTGGCGCCAGGGCTCACCGCGATCCTCCCACGCTCCCTTTCTGATAACGAGCAAAGGTGCACGACTCCGTGCCTCAGTTTCCCCTCTGCGAAGCAGGCATCTCAAAGACACAACCTGCCCTATCAGCTGCCTGCGAGTGCTGACTCGCTCACCCCAGCAGACTTCTGGGCAAGTCGGAACAAAGCTCGGCGTGCGGTGTGTGCTGCTAGGCATCGAGGAAGGGCAAGAGCTCCTCTCTCCAGGTTGGAGGCTCCTCCCTGCCCCCTCCATGCAGCTGTGTGCAGGGCAAAAGTGACACATCGCAGGAATTAGTCATTGCTCTGTGCTGCCCGCCTGCTCCCTGTGCTGCACACAGCCAGTCCATTGTGAAGCCACGCTGTCTCCATCTCCCATGCTGTTAGCTGCTGGCCTTCCTTTCACATGCTCTGATGGTCGCTAGAAAACTGCGAGAGAACACGGCCACCGTACGAAATAGCACTAATTTGTCTCCAGGCCTTTCCTCTCCTCCGCCCGCAGTGCTCTCTCGCTACTTAACGCTTAAACCAGCTGAAGTTTACAACAAATCAAAGCCTCCCCATAGGCCCAGATTGTCTAAATACAGAAAACAGGAAGTGAGTAACCTTCAACGGGAAATTGTTCATCCGATGGAGGCCAAGACCCAAGGCCTGGCGCTCCTCCGTCCTGCCCTGCAGAGGCAGCACAGCGATGCGGGAGGAGCGGCTCAGCCAAACTTCTAATATGGTCAATTTGCGGCCGCTTTGAATGAGGAGATGGCGAAGGACACCAGATGGGCAGCTGGGAGGGTTGTTTTTAAGGAGATTGGGAATGAGATGGAGAAAAAGCCAAGGGGGGAAAGAGGAAACAGTAAAGATGCATGAATCCAAACCTCCTCGGAAGCTGAAGGTGGTAAAAGAGTGTTGCAAACACTTCCAGCGCAGAAGGGAGGGAGGAGATGCGTGACAGCCCACTTGGTGATGGAAGGGAGAACACTTCATTTCCTAGGTAGAGCGAATAATGATTTATTTTTGTAGAGCAACTTGCCTGCTTTGCCCCCTAAGGAAAGATCTCAAATTATTTTACCGGCTGTTTATCTAAGTGTTATATTATTCACTACTTAAATGCAGCCATTACTGGGGTGGAACACAGCAGCTGTTTAACAACTCAAAACAATGCCCCCTTTTTTTTCTTTTTTTTTCTTTTTTTTTTTTTTAAAAAAAAAAAAAAAAGGAAGGTCATATTAAGATCCTTTCTAACTGAAGTTGAACTTCTTGTTACATGCTGCATCCAGTGAAATTAAGCTTTGCTCACATTTACACTTCTGCCAGAATCCCCCAGACTCCAAAAACCAGCACACACAAACACATCCAGCCATGCCTCAACTCTTCCACCCTAGCTCTGGACAGGCCAGTGGACTGTGTGACACAGGGCAGCCCCTGGGCCATAGATAGCTTTCTTTTGACCCCTTGGAGCCTGTTTATCCTAACATACTTTTTTCCACAGTGACTTCACCAGATTTCTTATGTTTTATATGAGAGAGTAAAACTGGATGCATGGCATTTGCTTCACATAGACTTTCTCTCTTGCACAGAGGTGAAGCTTAGTCAGATGCTTTGCTAACAAACCAGCTGGCTAGCAGAAAGATGCTCTTAATTAAACAGCCTCTCTGGGGAGAACTCTGTCTTCTTTCCCATCGCAACAGGTTTCCTCTTTGTCCTTTGGTGGGCAGGTGTTGTCCCATTGGGGCATGGAAAAGGGCAGCCTCTGATCCCACTAAAGATAGCCCCATTGGTAACAGATCAGCAGGGGCATCCCTAGATTGTGGGAGAGTATGCCTATCTTGCTTCACTGGCTGGTGCATAATAGAGCTGGCTCCCAGTGATATATCCATGGCTTTTAACAAGAGTCCTGTTCTCCAGAGGGGTAATGAAAGGGAAAGGAACCTGGAGGGCAATGTCTGTGTCTGCCATTGCCAGAAACCACAGCTGGTCCTGCAAGTGATGGGAACGGAGACAGCGCTTCTATCCAGGAAAGATGCAAAGAAATGCTTTCCCACTGCATTATCTGCTCGCTTTAATCTCTTTCTCCACCACTTTCACACCAGGAAGTGAATTTTGCTCCAATGGAAGGTGAGATGCAGATAATCTCAGGGAAGGAAACAATACTTACTGTAACCCCTGGTCTCAGCCAGCCGTTGGTTCTTTCATGTTGATGGTTGCAGCAGCTCTGCCCTGACTCCTTGGGATCGGGTGTGCAGGCTAAAAGAGGTTAGGGAGCTCCAGCCACATCCCTGGCCTGGCTGACCAGGGAAAAATGGTTGTGACCTGCCCAGCAGAGCCTGTCTGCCTGCAGTCCAGACATAGCAGGGAGCAACTTTTCATCTACTGACCTTGCACTCAAAAGGATTGAGATAATATTAACAGGTACATTTCCTTCTGTGCTTTCCAAAGCGATCCAGGAGGCAGTCTGTCCAGAAGTATGGACTCCAGAAATCTACAATGAGCTCTACACCATCTGATCCAGGTGGCGTGGGGCCTCTACTCACTCTGTTAAGGTAGGATTTACCACCCTCACAAAGCATTGCAACAATGCATTAAAGAATGAATGCATAAAGCTGAAAATGTGCCGCAGCTAAAGAATGCAGCTGTGACTGCAAACCATGCCATAGGCATGTTCACAAAGTATACACCAGGTTTGTCCAATGAAGGAAATTCTCTTACTGACACTGTTCAGACATAGGCTCTTTGAATTTCCTGTCCGTGGTGAGACTCCTTTGGTCAGTGTCATTCCAGCTCCAGCAAAGCTGTCCACAAGGGACCCATGCCTCCCCAGCAAGGGTCCTGAATCCTTTAAAGAGTTAACCGTGAGCTCCAGGCTCAATGCACAGGAATGCACCCGCTTCAGGTGGAGTCTCATCAGAGCCAGCCTTGAGCACTGCGCTGCCTTCACGGGAACCCATACAACTCTGAACTCAACAGCAACCACATTGTGTTGCATGAGGATCAGCAGGAACTGACATGGGACCAGCATGGGACCAGATGCTCCCATTTTAAATCTCATTTCACTTTTTGCCCCTACTATGTTATTCCTTAGTACCCCACAGATACTGTGTTCCCTTGGCCCAAGCCTTCTGCACCAGTTGTGCATCTTTTCACTTGCACCCTCTTTCTCAGAGCTCTCTTTCCAATGCCTCTCACATTTATACCCTTGCAGAATTTACCTTTGTGGCTCACAAACCAGCCATGTTCCTTTACTTCTGCTCCATTAGTGTCTATTGGGCCTGGGAAGACCAGCCATTGCTGCGTGCCACTGTATGATCCATCCCTGTCAATGCTATAGCTCTGCTTGACATCACTGCCCTGCTGGCATTCCTACAGCCTGCTTTCACTTTTACTCCCAATGCTGAACAAACCCAGCTCTTTTCTTCATGTACACATACGTATGTATTTATACAAATACATCCCACCACAAAAACAGACCTATTTTCAAGGTTTAATATGCTCCAAGTTCTGCTGTGGACTCTTCCTCTTTTGTTGCAGCTGTGGTTTTTTATAGGGCAAGCTTTGTGGGTTTGCAAGAGTCCTTGGATGCCTTGGGAAATGTTCTGCAAAAGCGAGCTTTCTCTCCATGTGTTCTGCACTCCAGCCACCAGGTCCTGAAATCTCTGTGCACAGGATTTCCCCTATTAAAATGGAGACAACGCCTACTTGCCTTTCAGGCAGACCTGATTGATACTAGTTGTTTATAACTGCAGTATCAGGCAAAGAAACAAGAGTGCCAGCTAGACTCCCTCCTACATCATCTGCTCTATGTGAGCTGCAGCACAATACCAGGATGCTCTGAACAGGCTCAGAATCACCACCTCACAGCCACAGAAGCTCTGGCTACCTGATGCAAGCTGCTTTGCCACCACTCTGCAAAGAGTAAGGCTTTAGCCACTGCCTTAAATGTCTTCATGCATGACATGAGAGAAGCAATCCCAACTACCTGCAGAAATAAGGGAGAGCCTACAAGCACTAAACAACCGTGAAACAATGAAGGCTACACCCTCTGCCTCCCCTGTGCTCGTCCTAGTTACAAGAGAAAGTAACTGGCTTAAAAGAGTTGAGGATTAACCTAACACACCTGGGTACCACCTGCTGCTTTACTGGCTCCAGCTCGCAGTTCTGTGACAAGCTGAGCACCTGACAGCAACATCCCTTTGAAATACCAGATCTGCTAAGGGTTTGGAAAAGCCTTGCTGTAGCACAAGGCAATTGGCAATATGCATGAAGACAAGTCTCCTGGGGCTGGCTGGCAGCAAGGAGGGATAACTTGGGGAAAGAAAATGCTACAAGCACAGCACAAGGCATGCTCTTCATAACCAAACAGCAGCTTAGCCCTGTAGAGTTAGCACAGCATTAAGGTTCTTATGAGAGGCAAAGCACACAAACGCCAAAAAGAACAACAACAAAAAACTTCTCTAAGAAGCAACAGAAAGTTGTCTCAAGGTGAAAAGCACATTTGTCCAGCCTTGCCTACTTGTAGCCTGACAGAGAGGGAGGTGAGATACGAGACTGAGCAATTTGCAACCTTCTAGTTCCCTCTCTCCCACCTCCTCCTCTCGTGGGAAATGAAAGAGACCTTTTGTGGAAGGAGGGAAGTCGGTGTGCAGCCAGTGTGTGCTGGGAGCAGCCTGGACTCGTGCGAAGGATCCCAGCATGCAAGCATGTGTGCAGGGCTGCGTGCACACACACACACGCGTGTGCACAGTTATGCTGAAGTGCTTGGGGCCGGCCCAGGGCCATTTCTCAGAAATCTCCTCATGCGTGTCTGAAAAGGTGGATCAGGCAGCGGAAGCGGTGAAACCACCACCATGCCCAGGCCCCAAATGACTGCCTTTTCTCTCTTTTTTTTTTTTTTTCTTCTTCTTTTTTTTCAGCTCCCCCCACTCCTTCCTCCTTCCCTCCCCACCCTGCCCTGTTGAACCGCAGCACCAGAGCGGCAGAACCTGATGCTGGAGGAGAGTGAAGGAGGCAGCCACAGCCAGCCATCATCCAGCTCCCTCCTCCCTGCTGCCATCCCACTGTTCTAGTAGCACGGCCCCTGCCTCTGTGAAGGCTCAGGTCTGGGGAGCATGGCAGGAAAGGTAAAATGAGCCAATGGTAGGATAAAAACAGTTTGGTTTTCTTTCTTCCCTCTTCAAAGCATGGCTAGGTTGTTGTCTTCTCCCTGGGTGATGCTGAAGAGAAGATGGAGGCTTGGATGAGAGCCTCCTAGGGGACAACTTCAGCTGCAATTCTCCTTCGACCAATATCACTCCATCAGGTCTCTTTTAACCTATTTCCACTATAATGGGGACAAAAAAAGGGTGTCCGTCACCATTCCCACCCACCACATCGGGCAGGGAGAGGGGAAGCATGGCTGGAGCCCTCACTTCTGTTTACTGCTCTTTGTTAGCAGCAAAGCTTTCCTCTTGCCATGCTTCCTGATAGCAGTGGGCCAAGCAGCGAGACTGTGGCCTGAGCCCCCTCCATCTGCAGCCTAAAATGGCGGTCGGGACAGACCTCAGCCCCGTGATGGCGGACAGCCCTCCGCCATCCCCACACAAGCTCTCACCACCCCAGCACCTTTCCCTGAGGGAAATATGCTGGATCTGCATCTTGTGCTGCAAATTTCCTCCTCCCGTTGAGGAAGAAACTCTGGAAAGTTATAAAGGCCCAAACTCTAAAGGCAGTTTTGGCAACGATGTTGGAGATCTGCTTGATAGAGCACATTAGGCTCTTCTAATTTTGGGGCACTGCTGGGTCAAAAATAAACCTTACACAAAGCAAAACAAGACAATTTTTACTTTGCACATTTTCTGTATAACAAAAGGTACTGGATGAAAGAAGGGAACATGGGAATCCACAAAGTGGAAGGATGGAAGGGACAAATTGAACATTGCAAAAAAAAAACAAAAAAAAGAAGTGTAGTGCCAAAGGAAAAAGAAAAATGCATTGAAAGGAATTAAGAAATAGAGGTGTCACCTGAGGTTGTCCTGAACTCTACCTGGGTGTGAGGAAGATGGAGTCCTTATGAGGCAAAAACCTAAAGGGAGATAGGAAAAAGGAGTAAATAAAGAAGGCAAGAAATGAGAGCGTGCAAAAGCCCACTCAGAGATCTAAGGATTAAAAAGAAAACCTTTAGTAGAAATGGAAAACAGGGAGGCAACCAAACAAGAATATTCAGTCAGTTAAGGCTTGCAGGGAAAAGATAAGGGCAGCAAAAATGCAGAATGAGTTAATTATAGCCAAAGGGATTAAGGAGAATAAGAGGCCTTTTACAAATATATCAGGGGAAACAGAAGAACTAGGTAGAAGGTGGGTCCGTTAATAATAGGTCAGAGTAGGGAAGGAAAATAATGAAACAAGGGGACAAATCATGCCAAGAGCTATGTGGGCATCTTCCTGCTACCATGCAGCCCGGGACCTCCATAACTGAGGTAGGGTTCAACCGGAGACTCTCATCCACAAGGACACATCTGAGCTGGGTGTGGAGATGTGCCATGAAGCTCTGTGCAACACCTGACACCTTCCCTGAAGAAATCAAGATGAATGCTTTCAGTGATGTAACTGCCTCAGATCAGGCAGGCTCATACAATAAAACAGCAGCGGCTGATGGAGGAAAAACTGCCTGGATTTTTGTGGTGTAGGAGGCTGAAAGAGTTAAGGTTATCCACGTATGTGGTGCAGTGGCCTCAGAAGAAGACCTAGCTAAAACATGTCCAAATATCTATGGGCCTTTCTTTGACTCGTGTTGCCTTAGCTAGGTTATTTCTTCTTTGTCTGCCTTGGTCAGCCCCACAGACTGCAACCACGGGTAACACCCAGCAAATCCCTTAGGGCTGGAAGCAGGGATTGGCACGTATTAGGACTCTGTAAAACTTGCATTTCACTGACTGGTGAGCCAAATTCTAACCTTTTAAGAAAGTTTGCACAAGGATTTGAAGCATTTCAGATATGCACACATTCCTGCCATCAGGATTTTGGCTTTCTCCCGCTCCAGAAATAAAATTTGGCTCCAAATCCCAGGTTTCCCTCTCAGTTCCTATATAAACAAGAGGCTCAGCTAGGAAAACGACAGAGTATTTATATTTTGTCAAAGTTAAAAAAAACACAACAACACATCAGAGGATAGAAACTATTTTGCCCAGCTCTTTCATAGCGGGGAGCTCATAGCTGTCCTGCCTGCGGGCTGCTGGAGGCTTTCTCCAAACCAGACCCCTCAGGCACCCTCCAGCCCCCATCTGCCAGGCAGGAAACAAAGGGCCAGCGCCTTCCTGGCAGGAGACAAGGTGCCAACCTGCCTGTCTCTGTTTACCAGAGGGAGGGATGTTAGCTGGGTGCGAATGGGGGCTGGGACCATGGCTGGGCGGGGGCCATTTGTCCTCCATTCCTGACTCTCCCTTCCGCCACTCTGGCTGTATCCCTCTGATTTTCACTTCTTTTAAGTGCTTTAGATAGTTAGCAGGCTGATGAGTAGAAAATAAAAACTATAGGACTCTAGTTCTGCAAGGGAAAACGGGACAGCCTAAACTCTTGCGAGCCAGTTCCCCTCAGCTCCATCCTCCAAAGATACAGGGTGCTTTGGCCCACGGGTCAGCCATGCAAAACACACGGCTGTTACACAAGGCTGAGCAGGTGGCTCTGTAGGCTGGGCATTGACACTGGAGGCTCATTCCACACCCATCCACTCAAGTCCCCACAAATGACAAAACCACTGCTGACTCCCTTCCATTTCACCTGTGTTGTGCATTGCAGGGTGAAGTCAGCACTCTCCATCTCCCTGTTGCCTCTTTGCACTTTCAACCCGAGTATGTAAAACTACAGGAGGAAAGAGAGGTTAAAATAACAGCAGTCAGTAATTAAAGACAGAGAATATACTGACATTTATAGGTCTTCCACCAGTTGTGCTTTTACTAACGTGATCTCTATTGGGTGTTATGTTAGTGGGACTCTCCAAAGAGTCACCAAGCAGGAGATCAGAAGAGCTATAACAAAAACAGTTATATGCCATCATTTGGAACTAGATCATCTCTGAGGTCCTATCCATCCCAAGCCATTCTGTGTTTCTACAATTCTGTGATTTGGTATTGAACCCTAAACTGAGGAGTGACACACAGGTGATGCTGAATGCTGAATTTATAGGCAAGTATACATTCCCTCACCTCTGTCCCTCCTGGAGGCTGGAGGAGACACAGAGTTTGGTGGCTCCTAGCCTGCCTCTGCCCTGCACAGAGCCATGCTGCTACAAAAATAACCCCCTTTATTCCTCTTTTCCTTGAGTACCTGTTCCATCTCTCCCAGCTGCCCAGGAATCAGTTTGTAAAATCCAGCCAGCAGGAGAGGTGTTGTCACAGGAGGGAAAAGGAGCAAGGAGCCAAGAAGCTTCAGCACTGAAAGGAGCAGCTGTGGCGGAAGGCAGCACTTGGAGTGATCTCATGAATCAGCCATGACATTATCTGCAGTGAAATGCCTGGGAAGGGGTTTCCCATGTCCTACCCTGACCTGCAAGGTTGACTCCATGGGGGCCTGAAGGGCATTTTGATTGCCAAAGACAAAGGCTAGATCAGGAGGAAATGATATTTTATTTAACCTCTGCGTCGAGGTGGGGGCCTGAGGGGAGGGCAGAAGCAGGGGGGAGGTGACAGAGGCGTGGGGATAATGCTGGGGGATTCACAGCAGAGAACTCTGTAACATATGGGCTTTCACTAAAGCACATGTCCCACCAAAAAGCCAATTTCCCTCAGTGTGCTGTCAGTTGCTGCCAGGCAGCTTGCTCTGTCAGGGCTGTGCTCTGCCACACAACGCCCCATTCGGTGCCAATATGGAATTTCCTTTAGGGAAAGGGTTGCAATAATTGTCTCTCCTATTTACACAGTGATTTCCAGACAACGTGCCAGAGCCTGGAGCCTTTATACAAGCAAAGCTCTCAGGGACACCCTGACTTGGCTCCAGTGTCAGCTCTGAGCACTCAGCACGATGTATGATGAGGCAGGGGACTGCAGACCTGTTGGTGCAGGGAGCAGCTATCCCTAAAGTGCCCCATTCCCAAAGTGCTCATAAAAGAAATCGGCATCAAAAGCACTCTGGAGTGGTAGTGTGGGGTGTGCTTACCTCCTATTTAGAAAGCATTAGATCTACAAAGGCTTTAAATATCTTCCTGATGTGACATGCCTGTAGGAAGTTGCTGTAGATGTCCTAAGGACCCGTGTGATCTGAGGGTGGGAGGGTAAGCCTGGAGGGATGGGAGCACAGGGGAATGCAAGAGTGCCTGCGAGGGAGGGTGGTGGGCTCTATGCAATTGAGCCCTGGGGGAGAGGTGGGGGGTCACAGTGGTACAACCTGCAATGCCAGCAAGGTGAGGCCACGGTGGTGGAGTTCATTCTGGTCTTCCTCTGATGAGCCTGAGAGCTCCATTCACGGCACATGGAAGTAATGGGTGGTTCTGAACAGTTCCAGTTTCGCTGATCCTCTCTGTTTTCAGCTGACACAGAAACACAAGTGAGATAGACCAGAAGTGTGAGAAAGGGTAAAGGCCTTCCTTCACTCCAGATCATTTTCTCATCAGATCAAGTGGGCATGCAGTGGCATTTTGTTACTTCCTTTGGAAGGTGGTTTCCATACTTCTTATACAGGCATATATACAACCCAGGATGTATTTTGCCAGATTTCTGTTTTCACTGTTAAGAAGAAAGCAGTCATGGCTGTCAGTATGAATTCTTACAAGTGCAAAGGACATAAAAGTGGCACCCCCTCCCATCTTCCCACAGTACCAAAATATCACGTGTCAAAGATGCTCCTGCTGAGAGATGAATTCCCCCTTCATGCAAAGTTTGGGGACTGAGGATTGTTCCAAGTGTTTCTATTTCAGACACTTGGTCTTTGACCAACTCATTGCATTTCAGGCTTGTGCTGAAGACCTGAGGACCATATTTGTTTGTATTCCCCCTGCACTCAGGGCCCGGATCGCATCTGCCTGTGCAAAACTGCAGCCTGCCCTAAGCACGTTCCCCAGATATGTGGTTCCTCAGAGGTCCTGGGTAATTCGGGGCAGGTCAGGCACACACCAGCTCTCCAGCTCTGCTGTGCAGGGAACCCACAGCACAAACTGACCCATGGGGAGCATGACCCAAAGTGTCAAAACAGGGCCTTTTACATTTTCCACTGCCACCAAACCTGTTTGACTGAATTGCAGGTTAAAAAGGCATTGTGTCTGTAATTGTTGGGCTTTAGAGAGCGTGTCTTTTCCTTTAATGAAATACCTCGCTCATTCCATTCGAAAAGGAACCAAAGACTTCTCAGGTTTATGATAAAGTTGTAAAAATTTTATTTACCCCATATTTCCTGCTGGGTTATTTATGAGGCATTTTGTCAGCTCTCATAAAACTGCCTAGTAAAATATATTTTCTTACCAAAAAAATAAAATCATTTGTGTGGGACATCTTGAGAGCAGCGAGGACAGAGTTAATGGGATACACACACGTTCCGACCCCAGGAGAAAACAAAACAGAACAAAAGCCAGGCATTGTTGTGCTGTATTAGTTAATAATAGATTTAGAGCTGAAATCCTGCTCCCACTGATGTTACTGGAAGTTGGTCCTTAATAGAAAATAATCAGAGAACCAGCTGCCATGAAACGGAGAGCCCCAAAGTGAACCTGAAGTGCATCAGAGCGCCCCAAAAACACATTTCTCCTGTTGGAATTTCACAACAAAGAGCAGCTTGGCAACTTTTTACTTGAAATGTGGTGACTTCGATTTATTTGACTCTGGGAGAGATTCAGATTGCCACTCTGAGCTTGAACCCAAGGTCAGTTGTTTGTTAATAAAATCACTTTTACCTAGATAAGCTTCAAGCTGCACAAAGTGAAGCTCCTTAACACGAAGATGAAGGAGATCCCATTGTGGCAGCTGCTGTCAGCTAGCCCAGGCACAGGAAAAGCACAACCCACCCTCTCCAGGCACAGCTGGGGGAAATTTGCCTCTCTTGGAGCACTGCTTCTCAGTTGTGTGTCATATGTCTGCATCTGCTCCGTTCTCCATGATCTGAACTCTCCCATTTTCTTTCTCCCCAGCAATGCTTATGTTCCCTAATCCCAGTGGGAAGCTTGGAACACTGTGTCTGTAGCTCTGCATTCCTCCTAACACCCTCATTTCAGCCCTTGCATCACTTACCACGTGCAGATGGGTTGGATTCAGGTAAATCCTCCTTTTTTTTCCACCCAGGAGCTCAGCAAAGGTATTCTAGCTGGGAGGCAGCAGACATACAAAGGAAGCAAGAAAACAATGAATAAAAGGCAAAAGAAAATAGGCAAGGAGAGCTGTTTTTAAAATAACAGCAGCTAGATGCTGGGAAGCGGTCAGAGGGCTTTTGTTTGGTGCCTGCACTGTGCTTGGCACAGCACAGCCTCCATACAGCTGAGCTCCATACTCCCGCTGCCGTGCAAAAGTAAAGCAGCAACAGCAGAGCATGGGAAACAGGCAAGCAGCCAGGTTTGGAAAGGTATTTAAGTGTCTAAAGGCACAGTGGGATATTTATTTACAGATGCTGGTACAGGTCCATGGTTTCCTACGGGAACCATGGGGCATTAGGCTCACAGTGCCAGTGCTTTATTGGTGCCACCAGGTGTTATCTGTGCCTTTAGGTACACGTAGAGCTGCTTTACCTCTTGACAAAGGCTTGTTTATAAACATTGCTCATACTGTGGGGTTGCTCTCCTGTGTGCCTGCACGGTGCTTCTGCGTGCAGGCTCAGAAGGAAGCGGGGAGCAGCCTGCTTCCCTCTGGGGAAAGCACAGAGCACGTCCATAACGTGGGATGTGCCAGGCCTGAGCTAGTGGATGGCTGCAGAACAGGCTGTGGTTTAAACAAAGTGGACCAAACTCCAACTCAGCCCTGCCAGAAATGCCTGATACTGATACAGATAGAAAGTGAATTCTACAACAACTGTGCTCTCCCTAGGCAGTATTCTCCTAGGCTAAGGTTTACAGTGACCCAGTGAGCACAAAATTGGAGGCAGACCCACCTGGAATGTTTGTCAGCTGTCAACAAGATGCAGAGGAACTCCGACACAGAGGAGAGGGCAGATGTGTCTGCAGGCTCTCTGGATGAGGCTCTGAGTGCTGACTAGGTGGAGATGGAGACGGAAAGCCATTTCTATTCCAGATATCAAACAAGCTCTCAGGGAAATTCCTTCTACAGCTTAATTCATTTAAAAAGAAAACACCTTTGCCTCCCAGCTTTCAGGGGGTTTTGGCATCCCTTACAACCAGTGCAGTCAGTCGTTCCAGAATCAACAGCTTTTGGTCAATGACTGACAAGGAAGGGCTGCTTTGCCTCAGTGCAGCGGGGAGAAACCAGCAGACATGTGGCAGACGCCGTGTTTGCACTGGTGGGAATAATGCTTTCGACTCAGCTTACGAAAGGTGAGCTGGCAGGATGTTAGCATACCACACACTTTGACAAACCCCTGGTGATGAGAGAGCTGCTGCCCGCCAGAGAGACCTGGCCCAGGGGAAGGTTCCTGCCTGTCCCACCAGCCTATTGATTCCAGTGCGGTACATTCCAAAACTAAAGCTACAAAATGCTTCTCCCTGCACTCCAGGCTGGCACCGGAATGCATGGTGCTTAGGCTCGAAACCTGGCGCTGGAGTAATCCCTAGGAAAGGAAAATAAGTGGAGGCAGATAGCAGGGATGTGCAATAGCTGCCGTGGAGGTCTGTGTAAAGCTGCCATTGACTGGGGTCCTTGTCAAATGGCAGACACGAGGCTTATAGCTGCTTTTTTTCCTCTTTGCAATGGGCTGTGTTATTTCTCTTCCCCACTGCCAACTGGCATCAGTGACTGATTCATTCGCACCAAACACAAAGATATGGGCTCTCAGAAGCCAAGCAGGACTCTCACCTAGGGAACGCGCTGGAGCTTTTTAATAAAGTTTAGAGAAGCATTCGGGCTTTTCCACCATAGTAGGAGAAGATGAAATTCTTTAATTGTTTGTGTTTGGTAGAACTCATATAAAAAGAGGATTTGGGATTCTGGGGAAGCTTTAGAGCTGACTCTGACCTTAAGCTGTGTTTCTGCACAGCACTGCATGCTCCCACACTGTGCTCCCAGCACTCACCCTGGGAACAGCCCTCACTCGCATCCCCCTGTCTTCAGCACACGGAGTGATTCAGGAAGGCAGCAGTTGTTTTATCCCATTGTTAGAACAAGCTCTTTAGGAGCCTGTGCAATATAAAAGCCGTGTTGTCATGCACAAACGCTGTGTCTCATCACAGACCAGGTCTGACCAGCTTGAGGTTCAACACAAGCTTAGAACTAACAGTGACAACATGAGATCTAGGAACACAAACACAGCAGCCAACAGCCCAGATGTGCACTGGTGATGGCACGTGAAGCATTTGAATCTGGATTTCTTACACCACAGATAAGCTCACTAATACTGCAGTCAGCCTGTGTGGCATCTCTCAATCATGATAAAAAGAAACTAGTTTGATTTTAATTGATAGATAAGAGGAACACTGGGGGCTGTTTTGACTTTTCAAATCTTGAAAATCCTTTCCGGGTGGGAACTCTGCCCTCCACCTCCTTCACCTTACATCCCCAAGTCACTCACACAGACGATGGGATGCTTCTCCCTTTTGGGCTCCATGCGTTTCACTGCCATTCTAGGTATTGGAGCGTTGAGCAGAAACCAATGCCAAAGCTGTGGCACAAGCACAGGCTTGAAGGTGAAGTGCAGAGCAATTCCTGTGGCTGAAAGATGCCAAGATCTCAGCCCCAAATGCCATCTGGCATAAAGTCTCACCGAGAAGTAGACCATCTTTCAGGACAGGACTGATGAGTTAACTCTTTTCCCAGCATCATCCTGAATGGCAGAAAGGTTCAGCAGTCAGCGTGGCATAGGCTGGTTCAATTTTTCATGCAACAGTTGCTTTTACCACTATTAAATCACATGGCTCTGCAAGGGCCAGCCAAGATCTTCAAACCAGCAACAGCTATGGCTCAGTAGTCAAAATTTGGCTCAGCCTGCCAACCTGGAGATGAGAATGAATGACTTTCACCTCCTGGAACCTCAGCAGTGTGGGGCCTGACCAAACACTGCAGGAGTGTAGGGGTGCCCAGCTGTTAATGGTGCACGTTTGAGTCAGGCTGAGCAGATAAACCTGCAGCTTTTCAGGGCAAGCTGGCAGAAGGCAGATCTATCTGCAAACTGAGAAATGCAAACAAGGAGGAAAAAAGTTCAGTTTTGCATCCTGAAAGAAAATGCAAATCTTGGTTGTTGTTTTTTTTTTAAAATCTTTTTTTTTTTTGAACGTCAGTGCCAGTCTTCTCCCTCTGATTTCTACACCTTTTGGCACAGGAATGAAACCAGTCTAATCTCAGTCACTGGCTGAGGAATGCTCAGGCTTTCTGAAGTCCCAGCCCACTTGGATAGCTGTATTTCTGAGACAGAGAAACAGCAATCTTTCTCCTTTTAACATCAATAACACCAGTTATTCTCCCAAAGAATTATTATCAACAATTCCTTTGCTATATTTACAAAGAAGCGGGGCTATTCTTAGAGAAAACACTAAAAAAGCCATTTTATTCAGCTTTCTTGGCAGTTATACAAAAATGTAAGGAATGTAGTCAGTTAAAAACATCAAATCCCCAGCACGAGTCTATAAGAGCTTCCCTAATGCATATTTACAGTATAGAAAGCAACCGCTTTCCTGTTTTGTAGAACAAACAGGGAACCTTCTCTTTTCCTCCGAGCTGTTCCTGAAGACCAAACATTAAGTTTGACACAGAATGCTGCTTTTAATGGTGCAGACTGTAAAATTTAATGCCTAGAAAATGGAACTTTATACTACAGCCTTCTTTTCCTAAAAAGGAATCGGAGGCGAATTTTACTGCGGGTTTCAGGCAAGTTCTGAATTGGCAGCCCAGGGTATCAGAAAAAACCTTCAGCCACAGCTCAGTTGGCCATGGCAGTGCTCACTTGTTCCATGCTGCTCCTCGCCCTGACAAGGACATGCAGCCCTAGGAGGGGGGAATCATAAGTAGGGACCCTGCCACTGTCCCCATACATACAGCAGCATCTCAGGGCCTTGCTCCAGCCTCTGCGTGCCATCTAGAAAGATCTCTTTCTTAGGGCATTACTTACTGCTCAGGAAGGAGGCTGTGGCTCATCTGGGTCACAGCTTTCCTGGTGATACTGAAAACAAAAGAAAGATGTGGGTTATTGCTCCAGGTTTGGTTAATGGGTTTGACTCTTACCTGGTGAAAATGGACAGATGCTTCCAACATTGCTTATACTGCACAAACACCAAATGGTTTCCAAATGGACATGACAGTAGCTCCTTTAAAGAACAGTCTATTCCATGGGGAAATAAAGACATTCCAACTTTTGGGGTTTCATAAATCTACTGGTATAGACAACATACTGCGGAACACGATAGGGACACAGGTATTCAGCTTCTCCCTCTTTCTCTGCTCTAACTCAAAAGAAGAGTCCATTTTTGGCATCTCTAAATTGAAGGTCTCTGGAGCCAGCTTGAAACTAAAGATCTAGAAAGGCTCCGGATCCCATTCCCAGCACTTCAAATGCTCTCACGTGTCCCAAGCCACAGACAGACTGGAAACCTCCTCCTCCAACTCCACGCTGTATCAACATTTCCTTTATTCTGCCACTTGCAGACCTGCTGTTTAAGACGTGTTTTTGGCACGTCCTTCCTAGTTTAAGTTGCATACGTGCTTGGCTCAGGCAGGTGACAAAGCTGTCTTTGCGGCATGCTTCAAGCCTTTGTTTTTGCAAACAACCCTACCACAATGTGCTGTGCCATGGGGCTGAATTTGGCCATAGTCATCCTCCAAGAACTCCTTTGGACAGATGATGCAACCCTGAACAGATTTCTATAGGCTTTTGTGATTTGTGCAGCAACCATTGGCTTTTCTTTGTGTTCCAGAGCCATCAGAAGCCGGCAAACCATCATCCTGAGTAAGCCAGGCAAGAAAATGACCACACTTGAAGGAAGAGAGGAAATGAGAGATTCGTCCAGGTCTCTGGCTCCCATTTGCTGTCATGTAGCAGTTTCATCATCATACGAAGTGTCAATAAGATACCAACAGGGTAAACAATTGTCAGACAGATTTTCACAGAGCCAGTTGACTGGACCATGGCTGCTTTGTACACAATGCCAATGCAGTGTCATTTCTAATGGGGGAATTTATACAGTGTAATTATGTCAGAATTTGCTCCAGGCTACACACTGTTGCATTATAAACCTGGCCATTGCCATGCGATTAGTCAGAGCCTTAAATAACACTGAAAGTAATTATATCAAGCAAGTAGTTGTCAAAGGCTGACAAAGAAAAGTGGTGAATTCCAGTGCTTGCCACATACCGGCCCTGGAGGAGGTTAGCTAATGATGATGGCCTTCATTGCTGGAGGGTTGGGTACCCGAGGCCACGTCCCCATCAGCTGACTCACAAAGCTGTTTAAGGACCCGCTCGTGGGGCCCTGTAATTACACAGCAGAGAGGACTCCTTCAGGTGAGTTCTGATAAGATTCCCAGATGACTGGATTTAGATGCATGTGATTGAAATGCAAAAAGCGGGGAGCTGCCTCACATGGGAGCATAGGGCCAAAGGGGCTTTGCATCAAAGAGATGGCCCTGCATGGTTGCAGGGGTAGGTGGGTGGCTGCCTTTCCCTCCTGCCCCTGCAGCCCTGCACGAAAACACCATCACAACACCATTATTCTACAAGAGTGAGGAGACCATTCAGGAGGGGCAGAAGAAGGATTAGAAACTGCTGGATTAAGGGCAACAGCCGGGCTGTGCAGTGCTCCTATTCTGCACTTTCTAACAGAAGAGTTCCAATCTGTTGGCATCCTTGGATTCCCATTTCCCAGAGAGAAGAGCACAAATCCTCTGCTTTCCAAGTCATGCTGAGCTCCAGGCCTGTGAGGGGGACAAAGCTGGCTGCTATCTCCCTTGCTCTGGCCCTGGTCCCTCAGGGCTGTTACAAACTATCCCAGTTTGTAGCAGATCTCCTGAGGGCTACAATAATGGCTGGGAATTACTGTCACGCAGCTCTGCTTGGCCTCACTCAGCCCTGAGTCACATCGGGTGCTCCCCCTTTGCTTTGCCTTCGCTTTTCCAGTAAATGCTCAGTTGGACCCGGAGTTATGCATGCAGGCTTCATCCCTCAAGAGCTCGTGGTATCTGAGGCATCTGCGACGCTGCAGCAAAATCACAGCCAGAAACGCTGCTGCTGCTGGTGCCTTGCAGTATCTGAAGCTGAGGCACTCGAGCAACGGTACAGGCACACTTTTAGAAATAGAGTGGATAATTCATGAGAAATCCCCACTACTTCTGCTTCTACCTGGCCTGAAAAGCTACAGAGACCAACAGCAACTTGTGGTATCCTGACATTTCTGCTTTTGTCTGGGATGGGAATTGAAGCAGGCGCTAGATTGACAACAGAAATTATAGAATGGCAGAAGATGAGGCAAATATTTTCAAACTGCAGCAATAATAATAATAATAATAATAATAATTCCTCCCTTTGGTTTTATGAACAGACATTCAGCATAGTTTTCACTTGCTCCATCCCCTTCCACTGACCTGGAGGAATGGTGACAGGAGCCCTGCGTTGTACATCCTGTTCCAGCTCCATGAAGAGGTGCCTGTCTGCAGCTGCTGCTCATGGATTCCATCCAGAGGTTGCCACCTCTGCTGCTCTGCCAGCAGAACTATTTGTGTCATCAGCTATTTGTGTCATCACTTCTCCGGCTCCATCAAAATAGTCCTGCCTAGAGAAGATCTGAATTGAATTGGTTTTAAAATACAAAAGCCACATAAGTCTTTGCTAGGATAGGACTAAATGAAGAGCTGTTGTTAACCAGCACAGTCAGGTCAATGCCTTGAGCAAGAGTCAGCACAAAAACACAAATGAAATACATACACCAACATTAACAAACTGTCCTCCATTATCCCCACTTTCTACCCTATTTCTTCATCTAACCCTCTAGAGAATTGCCTCCATGTGTTGGGCTGGCATAAATCTAACCCAACAAAAAAGGACTTTATAAATGACTTTTTATTATTATTATTCATGTTATTATTTGCTGCTGAATATCCTGAGCTGGCTCAGCAGGGCATCCATGCAAACCAAAACCCAGATACAACGTTACAAGGTGCGTGTCTTCTGAGGTCTTAGTCTCAAAATCTGCATCGCCAAGCTACTATGAAAATAAAAGATGCTGTGGCAACAGAGCAGGAATTGAACAGAGGTAAATTTGAGTTTCAGATGAGAGAAAGGAGGGGGTGGGGTGAAGAATGAAGGGTGATGAGAAAAGAGATGCCTTTTAGGAACAATGCACCACTGTTTTACGGGACAGGATTTCTCTTGAGTTTCTTGAAGTCTGATAATTTTACATCCACTTCTGGATGTTAATTCCCAGTCATTTTAGCTCATGTCATCAGCTGTTCTAATAGAGCCAACTCGGTAAAGCTGCTGCTGAATTTATCAAATGTGCAGTCACATATGTGCATACATTGTGTGCATCAACTGTGAAAAAGGAAGTCAAAACCAATACTCTGATCAAATTTTCCATCTGAGGTGTTTTGCCTCGCTAAGTAAGATAAAAGAAGCGAATCTTAGGGGAAAGGCAATCCGATAATGTGGCTGGTTGGCTTGCTGTGATTTACCCTTGGTGCCACTGTGCTCTGGAATACCGGGATGTTCACCTCGGTTTTTGTTTTGAACTGGGGTTTTGGCAGCAGGGGTGCTTTTTTGCTAAGGTGCCCAAGTTGTTTGTTTGCAGGTTTGTCAGGTGAGTGGGACTATCACTCAGACTGGGGGCATACGAGGGCCAGTTTTGGCTAGCATTGGCCATGGCCATTCTGGCCACTGAGATGGTGAACAAGCAGACGTTCTCCATAGCAACCATGCATTTGGCTGCCTTTTACCAAAGCAGAGCAGTGAGAGGTGCCACTGGCTGGACATCAATCACCAGTGTCCCCAGGACATCCAGCAATGAGCGCTCACAGAGCAAGTCTCACAGGAAATTGGGTAAACCTGACCCAAGTGAGGTTTCCACTGAGCTTCTTACCTGTGTGTGGGATGTTTGTGTCCCCAGCTGTGCTGCTGGACTTTGGCTCTTCAGGCTGGTCCAGTCTCTCTCCTGAGACAGCTCCTGGAAGATATCAGGGCTCTCCCCACTTCTTCCAGCTCCCCCTGTTTGAAGGAGAAAGAGAAGTAACTTTTCTTCCATCTTCAGGATTCTAATAATAGTTGCAGAAGTTGCCGTGCTACAGCAGCCCATGGCAAAGTGAAGCTCTGCTGCACAGGTCCCTCGCTGGCAAGAGCAGGTAGAAAATAAGAAGAGTCGTAACTGTGTACACACAGGTGCTCCATATCACAGCCCTGTGTGCCTTTTCCAAACAAGTGAGGTGTTGGTGAACGTGGCTCCCAGGTGAGAGGGAGCCTGGAACCTGCTGTGGTCAGTATCTCTGGACTCAATGATTCTGGCCCAGGGAAGGATCCCAAGACCTGACCAGGCTGCACCCAATCCTGTAGGGCTGCTGGGCTTTCTCTAACCCCAAGTCCCTCTGGCTCCTCCAGCAGTGAATGGCCCTTGCACAGCTTGCAGGCAGCAAGCAATCCAACCTCCTTTTCCAGGATGTGCCAAATTATTTTGTCCCCTTTGCCATGGAGATGGAGGGAACAGATCCCTGTAAAGCTGAGGGAGCATCAGTTGGTGACAGGTGGGGACTTAGGGTCCTTAATCCTCAGAGTAATAAGACCTGTACAGAAAAGATGGATTCAGACAGCTTCACTTTTGCTTTCCACTCTTCAGCCATCTCTCTCACCTCTGCAACACTACATCTCTTGTATTGCAGAGATGCCACATTTTGGAAGGAGAGCTCCTTAGCCCAGCAAAACCAACTTTAGCAAACTGGGAGGGTTTTTGACTTGAAGATTGAGGAGGAGAGGAAGGACAGGGTACAGTGGAGAAAAGGGATGAGAGATGGGTGGGAAGGAGGAGGTGAGTGGCACAGCGTCCTGGGAAGCGCAGCCAGCACTGCTCCCGGCCCCCAGCCTGGTGCAACTGCAGCAACATCTGCTCCACTTGAGCTCTGCTCAGTTAGTGGCATGTTTGTTTAATTGTGGGCCCAGTTTGTTATTTTGCTTCCCATTAGGAAGCTGAAGAAAGGAGGAGGAGGCTGTTCTCATTCTGGCGAGCATTTCGCCAGCACATTGAGGTTTCTTTCCATGGTGCTGGGTAGTCAGAACTCGCTGTACAAGGCAGATGCCTCCGAAGCCCATTGTTCAACCTGGTGCATTAAGGGCTCACACTTGTAATTTTGGCGCTGATCCCCTTCTCCCATTGTGTGAGCAGAATGGGCTGAAAAAGGAGAGCCTGTCCTCTTTATCTGGCAGCAAGGGAAGGAGGCAGAAGCTGCCCTGCCCGCCAGGGCTCGATGCTCCTGTGGCAGTGGGGGGAAGCTGTGGACATGTCCCTGCCCACTGCTGGGAAAGTCACTTAACTTTCACTCTGCTGCAGCTCCTTGGCCTCCCTCCAGCTTTCCCAAATTCACCACTGATTATTTTGGAAAAAAGAGGACTTCTTCCTGCCTGGATGTTCAGTCTTTTTGTTTGTTTGTTTTAATTAAAAAAAAAGAGCATTGTTAAAAAGTGGTTTTTTTTTTTTTTTTTTTTACTGCTGGACAAAGAGCCCTGAAGCTGTATGCACAGTGGTCAGAGCATGGAGAGCAAAATCCCTTTTGTGCCATGCCCTACAAGTGAGGAATAACCATATCAGACCAAGGCAGCACTATCAGAGGACTTCCATGACATGGGCATCTCCAGGATGAGTCTCTGGGAAGTATCTGGGCTTGGAGGAGTTGCTGTGAGATGCAGGCGTGCCTTCTGCTCATCCTGTTGGAAGCCTGCTGAGCCAGCATGGAGCACAGAGCTGTACAACGGTCTGACAATCTGCGTACAACATAGTTCTCATTCTCCATCACTGCTCAAAACTGGAGCCCCCAACCCAAACCATTGGACTCACCCTATATTTTCTGCAGCAAGGCACCAAGCCCACCAGGAGTGTTTCAGACATCTGCCTGAAAACAAAACAAATACCTTTCCTTAATGCAATAGATGGATTTAAAAAAATGAACCGAACATCAGAAGCTTAAATATAAACTTAGATTAGTGAAAAGGCAATACAAACAGAGCCCTGACTCTGCAAACATTTACGTATGCAAGAATCCTGGGCACTCGAGCTGAAGGGGAAGGATCGTGTATCTGAACACACTCATGAGGATGGTGTCTTTGCCTTGCTGGAGCTGCACGCAGACCGATTGACACAGAGCTCCCATCAGCAGGGCAGAAGTGCAGCCATGGCTTTGCCAGCCACGTTCTCTCAATTTTCTGTACAACACAAGGTGCAATTTGCCAACCCAGCCTGCGGGTGCTGCTTGCACGGATGCTCCGATCCCAGCTGGCGGGATGAGGGCCAACACCGGCACCACAGCCCAGCTCAGGGAGCTGACAGCTCTGTGACTTCACTCAGTTTAAGGTCCACACGGAGCGAATACCAACACGAGGTGTCCGTGCTGCAGGGGAGCTGGGAGGCTCTGTTACAGAACAAGTGTCCATTAGCGCAGGAGGCAGCGCAGATGCTAACTGGCTGTGGTGCTATCCCTCACTGTTACAACTTTGGACAGTTAAGATCTTGATGACATTATGAGTGGGGCTAGGGGCAAACCGTGGCCGCAGCCAGATTAATAGCATGCACAGGGCTGGGCTGATCCCTTTGCTCAGTACCGAAGCGAGTGCTGCTTTGCTCCCGAACTTCCCTGCTCCTCCCCATAGCCAAACTCGCAACCGGCTCACCGAAACGAGGTGGATTTAAGCACAGCCCCCCTAAGTCAACGCGTGGCACCGAACACGAAGCAGCGACGCTCACAGCATCCCCGCATGGAGCCGGGATGGCCGAAGCCCTTTCCCAGCCCCGCGCTCTCCCAGCACAAACCTCTCCCACCCCACGCCTCGCCCACCCGCCGCTCAGCCGCCAGCCCAGGGGCGTGCGGTGTTTGCTTAAGCCGGGGCTGGTTTCACGTTTTCGCAGTGATATGATAATTGCGTTTAGATAGCCCTGTCTCTCTCTGCTGGGCTTTTCACAGGGCTCTCCTGGCCCCCAGCAGGGCTCATTTAAAAGCGGCTCCGCTCTCAATGACACGCCGCAATGTTTTCAAAAAGAAACAAGCAGCGAGAGGCTCGCTGGAAAAATAACAAAGAGACCCAATTACAAGCCAATGTGTTGAAGGGTCCCAGGGCCGTCTGTGGGCAAATTAGGGCCAATTAAAGGTCAAAATGATTTAAGGTATAAGGAGAGAGGGAAGAGAAACAATTGGCCGGATTCCTGCACAGAATAAGTGTCTGCTGCTCGGTTTGAATAGGTTTTAGCGCCCAAATGATAGAGAAACTTCAGAGCTGAGGTTTTGCCCGATGTTTAAAGTGGGTGTTCGTGCCTGAGAAAGCGGCACAGAGGGCTGTTTGGGGGAGATGTGCTGCCAAGCTTTGCATATGCCTTCCTGCAAAGGCAGCTTGGAGCCATAAACCCGAGGTCTGGAGGCTGAGAGGCCATGCTTGGCTACATCGTTTTTTTCAGTTAGAAGTCTATTCGGTTTTGATGGTTAGGAGGTATTTAAAAAGTCACACTCAGCTGATGTAGCACAGCCCTCCTGCATGAATATACCTTGTCTCCTGTCCTGTGTACATTCGTGCACAGAGAAAAGCATCTCTCCCTGACCTCAGCTCCTGGGTAAGCTCACCTTCACCCACCTGCAAAAGCTGAAATCTCACCTAAAACCAGCCCAGCATCTGCAAAGCAGGCTGGGGATTTCACACGGGGTTTCCTTCCAGGCTCAGTCCTTCCACCCGCAGCCAGCTCAAACCCCAGCAATGCTGCAATGAAAATAGAGTGATAAATACTGTCACCAGTGCTATTTAAAACCAGAGAACATGTTCACCCCGCTGCTTTCTGTTGGATTTCAAATGAAGATTTTGGAGGAGATGGCTTTCTCATTGTTTTTATCCAGAAACAAAGAAGCCTGGAGAAGGCCTGAACTTCTGCTGGCTCCCTGCATCTCCCGTGCTTTGCCATGGGTGGTTCAGCAGCTCAACCACGCTCTGAGAGCTGCAGGGCCGAGCGAGCAGCTCACTGCGTGGCAGAGGGCAGGCAGGGAGTGGTGGAACCCCAACACAGCAGGGTGGGCAGCGTGTGGTTTGGGTGAACAAAGCCAGGCAGGTGGATCCAGGTCTCATTTCAGGCTCATCCTCCTGCCACTGTCACATTTTAGTAATGGACAAAAAAAGTAAAGAAATCACAGAATAAAATCTCAGGGTCAGAATCATGAAGGCTGGAAAGACCACTAAGATCATCTAGTTCCACCATCAACCCATCACCACCATACCTCTGAATCACATCGCTCACTGTGACATCTACCCCTCAAAACCTCCAAGGACGGCATCCCCACCACATCCTAGGCAGCCCATTCTACCACCTCACCACTCATTCTGAGAGGAAATTTTCCCTAACATCTAGCCTGAACCTCCCTGCACAACTTCAGGCCCTTACCTCTCACCCTACCAAGAAATGAAGCACTTCTTTCTTTTTTTTATTCCCAGAATTTTATTTTATACCTTTCTGGGTGAAGAAATACTGAAACTCAGGGGAAAGACTCAGGGCAAAAGAAATGCAGACATAACATTTCAAACAGCCTGTGCTGCTGGCTGGCTTTTTATAAGAGGGCAGATAAAGCCACCTGGAGCAAGATGGCACAACCAATGCTTCCACCCAATTTTTCATCGTCTGTGACATCTTCAGCATTGCCCACCCAGACGTTTTGGAGACAGATGGTTGTTAACTACACATTTTCTTACAGTCTTGCTCATTAAAAACAGTCAAACAAAGACGAAAGCAACCTTTAAAAAACAACCCAACAGTTTAAACTCGTTTTACAAATGGCTTTAAAACATCCAGCCGTGTCCCACCTCATCCTGCCCCTTCCTACCATCTCCAGCTGGAAAAAAAAAAAAGAAAAAAAAAAAAAAGAAAAAAAAAAAAGAGGCCATAAAACAGTTCTGTGCAGTCACATGTAAATCCCCTGTCTCTGTTAAGGCGAGAGATTAGCCTGTTAACAAAGTTACCTTGTCACCTACCCTGCTTAATCCTTGCATTTCAAAGTGTAATTTTATTGAGCGCCTGGGAGCTGAAATCTGGTGTGTGTTATTTATTTATTTATGCCGCTCAATCGGTCCCTACTTTTTTTTTTTTTTTCCTTCCTTTCTCTCCTTTAATTCACCTGGACCTCAATAATAATAATAATAATAATAATAATAATAATAATAATAATAATAATAAGTATATATACATATATATACATATATATACATATATATATATATTTTTTAACTGTGCCGACAGCCGTGGATTTTGGAGAGGCGGCACCTCTGCGTGTGCATAAATTTCCATGTCTTTCTTTAACCCTTTGGAAGCTGGGGAAATGCAAAGCCCCCATCCCCGCCCCGCAGCTCGCTGAGCCGGCAGCTGCCGGCGCTGTGTGCTGCACGGCCGGGCTGCAGCGGGGTATCCCAGCCGTAAATCTGTCAATACAAAGAGAACGACGCACACGCAAAAAAATGCGGTTAAACCCAAGAAAAGCAGCATAATTACAGGTTCATTACGGCAAACAAAAGCGTCCCCCGATCCCACCCCTTTGGCAGGGACGGAGGGATTCCAAGAGGCTCATTATGTAGTTACGTCGGTAGGGTCAGAGCACAGCGTTGCGGCCCCGCTCCCTGCCCAGCTGGGATGCGCCCATCGGGGCGCCCCGTGTCCACCCGGCCTCGTCTCAAACCTTCTTTCGGGTTCATTTAAAGTGCATTTGGCCACAGTGAAAGGCGCTGGGTGGCAGCCTGAGGACCAAAGGCTTTCTACTGATCTGCCAAGGGAATGGAAAGGGGAGGCTGGGTGCAGGAAAAGGGACAGCAGTCCCATCTCTACGGCCTGCTCAGTGCCAGCTTTGCATTCCAAACCCTCCTCGGTGCCAGCTGGCCAAGACACAAGGCTACCATGGCCCATCCAGCCACCTCCTCTCTGCTTGCTAATGGCTCCGACCCAACCTGGGTTGGAAGATCACAGTGACCCAACTCATACCAAATTTCCCAGAAGTTGGGAAACTCAACACACTAAACCTTTTCCCCAGGACACCTCCAGCCCTGTGCAAGCCCTGCAAGGGATGCAGCCGGTGCTTTTCAGCTGTTTCCAACACACGGCTCCCTTTCTCACCGGGTGTGAAGTCCCCTCCGACACCACATGCCCCTTCCAGAGCCACAGCTTCCCTCTCTGTCCGACAAAGAATTGAGGAACTCCAACGGCTCCGCCAAATATTCAGGGAACCTGGCAGCCCCCTTCCCTTCCACCCGCAGTGGCGGTGAGCACTGACAGCACGCCCACACTGGGCCTGCCTCCATCTGTAACCCAAACGTCAAAACATTTCCTCCTGCAGCCCCGTTTTGCTCATGGTAGTCCTGACCCCAGGTCTGAGCCGCACTGCTTTTGGGGTCTGCCTTGCCGAGCCATTACTGTCACTGCCCCACTGTGCGCAGATAAGAATAGGCTGCTTCTTCTGACTCATTTAGCTAAAACAATGGAGCCACCAGAGGCCAAATTAATCCCTGGTGACTTCAGCAAAGTTCCACCAGGCTAAATTTGGTCCCAAGTGTACAATTAGCACGGAGGAGAGCACGGTGTCATGACAGCCTCTTGGCTCTTCCCTTGGGCTCCCTTCGTCAGCCCCATGGCTGAGTGCTCCCCTGCCATTTCTGGGCACGGGGAAGGGCCCCCTGCTAGGGACAGGCAGCCCATCATGGGCTGGGGCAGGACAGATCCCATTTCCCTTGGAGCTGCCTTGAGTTTGCCATGGAGCCCCATCCCCTGCTGCCCACAGGCATCCCCACAGTACTGTCTTCAGCTGGTCCAGGTGTCCCTTTGATGGCCATGGAAGGGAGGCATGGGCTGGAAACAACTGAAAAGCACAGGCTGCACGGAGACTCAGCCCTCACCAGCCTCTGTGCAGTAACTTTGTGGCCACCAGATTCCCTCTAGTAACAGCTAAACCACCAAACCACATTTTTTCAGCACATTTGTGTTTCAGATGTAGAAGAATGGGTCAGAAATCGCTAAAGGAATCGTCTCGGGTGACTCTTAGCTGACCCAGGAGCTGAGGCTTTGCTCAGCAGCTCCCGCAGCCACACACAAGTGCTGTGTGCGAAAAACAGAAGGTGCAGAAATAAAATATAAAATAAGTATTTAAAAAAAAAAGAAGAAGAAGAAGAAGGTAACCAGACCTTTTCAAACTCCAGAAGTACTTCCTCAAACACATGGTTTTGTGCATCAGGCACAGGCAGAGTCTGGATGGCAGTGCTGATCCTGCTCTGCAGCACAGTGCACGCAGGTGGGTCTCACCAGCAACGGCTCGTGTAGGATGGGGTTTGCTCTGAGAACACTCTCACTAACCTCAGAGTGCCTGTGCATTGGAAAAAAAACAAGCAATGAGAAAGCCTCAATTAATTGAAAATATAATACATATACATATAAAAGGGGAACAAAGAGCAGAATGTGGGAGTCGGGGAGGTCTGTGCTTGGAGCCTCCCTCCCATGCTCCCCTGCCCTTCCTGCCCCACAACCCGGAGCAGTTTCAGCTTCTCATTCCACTGACAATTCTTCATAGGCTCCAGGATTTGAGGGAGCTTCCTGTTTCACCACAAAACCTCACGTCCTTTTGCTTTGTCTGGCTGTTAAAACTGTGCCAACAAAGTGGCATTGAATGCATTTACCCCCTGTCTTGAGCCCGACGCTGAAGCTGCACTGCTCGTCGTGGTTTGGTTCCTACATCCCCTCTCCACATATTTCCCCTCTTGCAAGCACACAGTGGTTGCTCCAGCATTGCATGGGTTGCGTGTGTTATTTTGTTATTGCACGGTTGCTGGTGACAACTGATCTGCACGCACTGCTTTGTTTTTGCAGGGTTGCTTTAAAATCCTAGGCTCCTGGTATTAGTTCCATTTATTTATTTTAGGAAAGGGTAGTTTTAAGGCTTGAAAAATAAACACGCTTAAAGACATACCGAGTTATGGGGAGGAGATGGTGAGTCCCTATGTTCCGCTCTTCTGGGCAGGACTGGCTGTTGGTGTTTGGTGTTTTGGCAGCTCGTGTTGGTGTCACTGCAAAAACAGCACGTTATTAATGATTCTCCAAGGGCTTGAGTTACTGCAAAAAGCTTCACCAGACACAGGGTTTAAAAGTTCAGATGAGGGAAGAGGTGTAAAGAGAAGAGGAAAAGCTCTGGTGTGGCTGATGAGGGCTTTCAGCATCATCCTGTGCCAGGCTGCTGATGGGCAACCAGGCAGTGAAAAGAGCTCTGTAAGGCACAAATACATTCCAGCTCACTACAGCACATCCCCAGAGCCTCCCAAAGCCCATACTCTGGGAACACAGGCCCAGTCCTCACCTGGCCTCAGCACTGTGTCCAGGGCTCATTTTTTGCTAATGAAAAGAGGTAACAGCTGAGTTTGGGAAGTACTGGGAAGGAGAAGAAAACACACTGCCCAGCAGATCATCCACAGCTCTGCTGTGAAAGGGGAGACTGAGGAGACAATGAAATTGAGGAGAGAGACTCCTGTCAAATGAAAAAATTAAGTCTCAGGGTATGTAATTGATGTGCTCTTGATGTGGACCCTAAATCATTTACAAAGCCTTACCTGGCACAAGCAACTCCTGCACCAAGGCAGTGGAGGACAAACATCCTGAGCAGTGTGATGAAGCAGGCAGCGGGAGCAGCTCCAAAGCAGGTCTCAATAGCATGAACTTCCCCATGGGGCTCTGGGGTTCTTCCTGCCTTGTCCTCCTCTTGTCCCAGCTGCTGGAAGTGGATTGCTTACTACTGTGGGCACAAGAACAACTCCAGCACCCCAAATGGGAGATTCCTCCAGCAGGACATGGCTTCAACCTAGAGATGCAGCTCTCCTTCGCTGCTGACATTTTTCAGCTGAACCCAACATCAGCTCAATCCTAAACACCAGTATGGGCTACTGAGAAGCATCTCTAACACACCACAGTGTTTTTTCAGGGCATCAAACATCCTTGGCCATCACCGTTTGGGAACAGATTTCAAACTGCTTCTCTCCCCACAGTTACTCTGCTCTGTGCTCCTAACCCACAGCAATAGAGCAATCAGCAAACAAACCGACTGCTGGACAAAACGAGGTCCTTGGGGAGCAGGATGAGCTGCACAGATACTCCCCAGGGCTCCACCATCCAGGCTGAGGTGGAGGAATCCAACCCTGCAGCTGGCTGCGCTATCCCATAAGAAAGACATCAATCTTGAGGACATTTTCCACTATCAGTCATCCTCAGTGCTTTTTCCTGCCCCATCAGCTGCAGCAGTCAGATGGCACCAACATCCCTACTCTGTCCCCATCCTAGTGTTGTGACAGTCTGCTCCATAGGCTGAGTGTCAGCACAACCACCTCAAGCCCCCACCAGCTCCTCTCTGCCCGGGGCATGCGCCATCCTCCCGACACTGCCTACAAACTCTATTAGCTTTGTAATTAAAAACAGCTGTAATCTGATCAGGTGGAGATCACGGTTACAAAATGAAGGAAGCCATTAGCAGGAAATGTTGTGGTTCAGGCAGACATCAAATCAGTTTAAAGAGATTGGATTTCATTGTTTTTATACAGTTACTCCATTACTATAATGCACTGGGTCCATTTAAGCGGCTGGCTCGGAGGAGTGCTTATAAGGCAGTAGTGACATCTATGTGAAATGAACGGCATAAACGGTGAGCGGCGAGGAGATAGCACTGAATTTACACCCCTCTCTCTACACTGAATATCAATACACCGGAGTGGGGTTTGCAGGGGTGTCCTGCTTTTCCAGCCCCTCCCCCCCCGCCCCAATTTCCAGCCCTTCTGTAGGATAGGGGGAGCCCCCCCAGAGCAGCTTGGCTCAGAGGACCTTTCCTCTCCTAAGCCACTGTCCTGGCTCCTGGGCAGTGAGATGGAGTGAGAACTGAAATCACAGCAGTCACACCATTCTGCTTCCTCCCGATGAACAGCAGTGGGTCAGGGCACAGCCTGGGCACCTCTTCTCACTGGGGTGTTATTTTTTTCCTCAGTTTCCTCTCCTTGAAAACAAAAGAAACTCCCAAATAATTAAAAAAAATAAAAGAGAGGTGTGGGGTGGGGGGGAGATCAGCTGTGCTGGGAAGCATCAGCCTTTGGCCCAGTGCTCATACCAAGGTGCAGGATGTAATCCAAAAGCAATGTTGCTGGGAGGGGCTGTTTGCAAAATCCGTCAGCTCCCACTTTGCTTCGGGATGGGATGCAGCTCCTGTACCTACAGAAAGTCCTACACTGAGCAGCACGTGGCTGAGGGCAGTCAATGGAGGAGCGAGAGGGACAGGAGTGGGGAGGCACAGGGTTCTGGGATCTGTAGCCTGAGAACTCAGAAACCTTTCCAGGCAGCGCAGAGCACAGGCAGAGCCTCCCCTCCTTCCCAATCTCCTCATCAGAGCGGGAGATAAGAAGGGGCCTGCAGACAAACGCCTGCTGCCTCCCACCCGCTGTGAGGAGCCCCCCCAGGCAGCACCTTGTGGTTAGCAAAGGGCTCTGGCACTTTCCAACCCATCCTGGGCAACCTCCCTCCCCTCCCACCTCTCACCCCAACCTGTATCAAATGCATCAAAGCCTGAGTAAATTATGTTCCCCTTGACCTGCTGGCAGCAAGTTCAGGCACAGGACATTAAAAGAGTAGAGGCTGAGGTTTCATGGTCAGCGGAGGTGGAGGAGGAACTGCATTGCTTTTGCCTTTAGAAGCGACGTTTTTAGTCACGTTCAGCATTTGGCAAAGCTGAGGTGGGGCTCAGGTGGAGCCGGCTAGGAGCCGGGGAGAGGATTTCAGAACAGCCCCCTGCTGTGTTACGTGGCAATTTCATTTGGCCTGGGCTCTGCATAGATGAGACCACCAGACAGCAAACACAAAATGATCACAGAAGCTTGGGTTGGAAAGGAGCGCAAAGATCACCCAGTTCCAACCTGGTGCTACGGGTAAGGTTGCCAACCACTAAATCATGCACAGGACCAGGTTGCCCAGGGCTCCATCCATCCTGGCCTTGAACATCTCCAGGAATGGGGCATCCAAAAGATAGCAAAGTGCCCCTACGTTCTCACAGACCTGGTGGCACACAGGCCTGGCAGCATGAAGGTCCAAGAGCACATAGACCCAGTGGTTGCTTCCTGGCACTGCCACAGCTCTGGATGTGGCACTGGATGGAGCACCTTGCTCCCAAATCACTCTGCCAGTCCCTGAATAGACGGCATCGAATCTGGAGCCTGTGAAGCCACTGCCAGCAAAATAAATATTCGGGCATATTTTTAGCATGGTCTCGTTCAGAGAGAATTTCTTTGTGTCCTTCTGAGGAGCTTGCCGGATCTTTCATCAGTTTGTTTTTCTCATTAGCCGGCATAAGCTTTGTTCTTATTTAATAAAGATTAGGATCTGCTGCCTCCAGCCCTCTCTTTTTGCTCCTCTGTCAGGCCCGTGGGGGCTCGGGCTGCAGCGACGCGTTTGATGTCGGCCACGGAAGTTGAAATGCGGGACAGAAGCTGGGGTTTGTTTCCCCCAAACACCCCCATGCTTATTCAGCCCTTGTGTGTGCCCCACTGAAAGGCAAAGGCATGGCACAGTGATGGAAAGCTGCTACCTGGGCATGGAGGTTTCTAGGTCTGCTGGTGCATGCTTTGCAGGGTGATCTGAGCTGCCAAGAGAGCATGGAAAGAGAACAGCGAGCTGACCTGTCCATATGCCTCACAAAACAGACATGACACAGATGGGAGCTGCTTCTTCCAGCCCTGGGGTCAGGGAGAGACAAAGGAGCTCCTATTCCTTTATATACAATCAGATTCTCCTTGTGAGCACGGGGAATAAAATAACTGCTTGCTTTTCTGGAGCTGACTCATTCCTTGAAAAGAGATGGGTTAAAATGACGGCAGTCATGAACCAGAATGAATGCAATGGACTCCCAGCAGAAGGCAGTGGCATCTCCTGAGCTCTGAAACTCCAATCCCAACTGACAGCCGCAGGTTGGACCAGCACCATGTCCTGCCAGTGTGTGAGGGGGCAAGGGGCTGGGCTGTTCCCATGGTACAAACTGCATGCCCCAGCTAGAGCTGCCACAGGTCACCTCCTGGTTATTTCCTTCACTGTCAATTGCATGGACCAGACAGGTCTCTTTGCTATGTAGCTTGGTTTGGTCATTTCCAGACCAAGATTGTATTTACCTCTTGAGAAATACTGTGGTTGTTTGTCTGCACTAACATAGATGAGGTCCCCACATCCACCACTATTAATAGTGCTATTTATTAATGTAGTTTTACTTTCTTAGACATTTAATCAGAGAATGGCTTGGGTTGGAGGGGACCTCAAGGCTCATTTAGTTCCAACCCCCCTGCCGCAGGCAGAGTTGCCTACTGCTGGATCAAGCAATAAATCAGGTTTTTATTTCTCAAAAATGAAATAAAATCATTGAGCTCTTACACGAGGAAGGCTCCCATTTCTAGCAAGAAACATATTTAGCATACGCGCACTTGTGGAGGGATGCATAGCTCCACGGCCAATAACACTTATCGCTTCGCCTCCCATGGGGAGATAAGGGCAAAGGCACGCAGGGCTGCGGGGCAGGAGCTGTTTGCTGAATGGGGCCTGGAAGGAATCCAGTCCCCACCCCAGTGCAGCCTTACCTGCGCCCAGGTGTGCGCCGGCGCCGGTCCCCGCGTGCTGTGCACCAATGCCAGCCGTCGGAGCTCGTGTCTCTGGGAGGGAGAGCAGAGAAGGCAGATTTTACACACAGTATTTCTTTTCTTTAACAGTCACTGCTGTAAATGAACTCGCCCTCGCTGTATTTGTGTCACTTGCGTTTGCTGCCTGGGACAATGTGAGAGTGCAAGTTTTCCTGGCATGACTGCTCTTGGAAAATCAGCTTCAAATCCATATATGATAGTATTCATGGAAACCACAACTCTAATTCACATGCACTGATTTCCCTGCCAGAAAGCATGCTTCCATCCAACCCAGGGATAGAAACATCACCCTGTGACTTCCTTGCCCAATCACGACCAACTGATCCTCTTCAAAACTCAAATATTTTCCAGGGAATGTTTGCAACCCACAGTCTAAAAAAAGAAAATCTTCCCCACATTCATGCAGTGGCTCAGTGTCATAGCTGTATTCAAGGAAGATTCCTGATAGGTATTTCCCAAGCCAGACTGCTCCTCTCCCAAAGAAAACAAAATGAAACAAAAAGCCTTGAGAACCAACTATTTTGGATACACAGATACTTCATTCAAAATTTCTTCCCTGTTTTCTCAAGTGCTTTAGTCTGTGCTACAGAGATGTACACACAGCTCACTAGCACAGAGGGAAGGATTCGACCCTTGTAAGCCCATCCTTCCCAATACCAGTGAGAGATGCTCCCAGCCACTGCTGTGCTCGGTGCAATGGGACAGAGGTTGGAGAGGTGGAGGGAGAGCCCTCGCTGAAGATAAAATCTATTTCTGATGTCTATAAAAACCAAACCCGAATTCACAGTTAGTTCAATGTGAGCAGTGGATGCGGGGTAATGGAGAATGGAGTTATTTATTAATAGAAGGGCATTTCAATAGAGATCTGAGGAGGTGATACGGACCAAATGGAGGCATTTACAGAAATAATGCTCAGGAGGGTTTACCTGGTGTGCCCAGGTGTCTTAGCACTAGTCCTGGGGAGGGCCACCTCCCGTTCTCAGGAAAAGTGTTTTTGGGGGCTGCATAAAATGGCCTAGGTTGAAAAGGACCACAATGATAACCTAATTTCAAACCCCCTGCCATAGACAGGGTCACCAACCACTAGCCCATGCTGCCCAGAGCCACATCAAGCCTGGCCTTGAATGCATCCAGGGACGCAGCAGAGCTAGAAGAGCAAGTGTGGAGGGGAGATGTGTGTCGAGGAGTATGTTCTTGCTGCACTTTTGGGGCAGTGGAGGAGCCCCACCTCCAAGACCTCCAAATCCACATTAGACTCCACTCCAATTCCTACTACTATCTCCCACAAAACACAGAATTCACCTTCCTGAATTCCTCGCTTACTCCTTTATAACCAACACCTCTACCCTCACTTGGCAGGGAAGCAGCACCACAATTCCCACCCATCTCTCCTTCACAGCCCCTTCTGGAGGGGCTCATTACCCATGCAAATAAATAACACTCCGACAGCCGATCCCCTCCCAGCACACACACACAATTCATGGGGGTCTTTGGGGAGCAGGGACAGCGGGGAGGGAGGAGCATGGTGCTGCGTGGCTGCATGTGGCAATCAAGCTTTCCCACCGCTGCATGTCCCTGGGGAGCAGCCCCTCTCCTGTTGGCAGAAGCTGCGTCTCTCCACTTTGCTAATCCCCCTCCGCTGCACCCCGACCCCTGGGAGCCCTGGGAACGCAGTGTTCGTCCACGCTGCCCCATCTCCCCTCTGCAAAATGGAGTGGGGAAGGAGGGGAAGGGGAAATGTGTTCTTCCTTAATTGATTTTTGGTGAAAAAGGCAGGCAAGCGCGACACAGTCAAATTAATTAGTTCCTGAGCTATTTGCAGTTATGAGCCACGTAAGATTAGTGGTCACTGTGACTGGGTGCTGAGAAGTGGAGGTAGGAGGAAGGTTGTAAAAATGCTTTTTTTTTTGCTCCTCTTTAAAAAGCAGAGAAAATAAAAAAGGAGACTTCTTGGCTGTCTCCCCAGCGTACCGTGCACAGATCCAATCTGGACAGCCCAATTTATGGGGTGAAATGACTGTTTTGGCCTATCCTGCACTGCCCACAATGACCCAAACAAATGCTCTCTCCAGGTCCTCTGCTCACCCCACTGTTGTCCCACCAAAGCGGGGGGACAATGCCAGCTCCCACACCCCAGTAGTGATATCTGTATCCCCTCTTGTCCTTCTACCCAGAGAGGCTGTGGGAGAGGCTTTGAAAGCCCCACACAGGCTCAAGGGTTGTGACCCAGTGTGAAGGGGAGCAAGGGTTGCCTGCTGCAACCTGATAACGCAGCAGCATCCCAAGGGGCGGCTGCAGCCGTGCTGCCCAGCCCAGGGGCACCCGCTGCCTTCAGAGATACAGCTATGCAGACATGCTCCCATCTGGGTATTGATAAGCGTGCCTGTTTGTGCATAAACACAGCACAACATGCAGCCACATACCTCTGCATTCCTCTTCCCCTCCCTCACTTCTCCCTTCCCCCCCCCCTCCTTATTCCTTTATCTCCTTCTCATCTGCTCTTGCCTGTTAGTTACACAAACCTGCACTGCAGCAATGGGGGATGATGAATATTTGGGGTGAATCTGAAAAGTTTTCAAGAGTTTGGGTGGAAGAAAGCAAAAAGAGAAGGTCCCAAACCCAAACACTGCCAGACTGACTTCAGCCAGGGAAGCAGCACTGAGTCCATCCACTCCACACTTACTGCATGCTGTCCAGTTCACCTGATGTTGTCTGTCTCTTCTTGCTCCCAGCAGGATAGCAAAGTTGGCACTGAATACTGCTTTCTTACCTCTGATTCCATTACAGCTCACAGCCTACTATCTGCATCCCTGGTGTGGACCAGACTAATTCTAGAGGCAGAATGTTTTCTAACTCTCCATCATTCCTGGAAAAACAATAAAGGAAAAGACATAGTGGCCAAGTCTTAATGCCTAAGCAAGTTATTAAAGGAAATCTGTACTGGACAAACTCAATGACAACCACGACCCAGCTGTAGAAACCCCTCACAATTCACCCCAAAAGTATTGTGGCATGTTCACCACTCCTTCACAGAGCCCTCCTCATCCCTCTGCTCTCAGAGGTCACCCAGCTCCATGAAAGGGGACACAAGTAGAATAAGCAAAAAACTGGTAGAAGAACCTGTGGATTAGTAGAAACGTTCATCTTTCCCATTCTGGCAGCTCAAACAGGTAATGTTGCTTCAATAGATTCCAGGGAGGGGTGACTACCCCTCCAGAAGGACTCTTTAGAGAACGTGGGTTTGAGCACAGGGCAGCATGTGAACCCAAGGCAGCATGGCTCCACTGCTCACTGGCTCTCTGGAATGGAGTTGTATACTGAATTTATGAGCTCTTAAGTCATCACATTTACAATTTATATTCTCCAGTCTTTTAATCTCAGCAATAAACTTGGACTAAACCTTTGCTGAGGCAGTGTGGAAATTTCACTGTTCCCGGCAGCCTCGTTTATGAGTCCACAGGCAGGACCAGAACTTAAACTTGTCTCCTGACATCTTCATTGTGGGGTCAACTCCACTTGCCCACTCCCAGAAACAGTTGCAACACATTGGCAAATACTGGGGGGTGAATGCTAGCAATGATCTCCTATGATCTCTCCTTCTAGAGGAGGATGCTGCTTCCCTTAATGAGGCGCACCAGTTTTATGTGCACACAGCAATCTAAATATTGTAGGACTCCGGACCTTGCCATCCCCTGCAAACCAGCCTCAGAGGTGCATTTTTACTCTCCTAGAGTTGCTTTACTTCAGCAGAAGAACCATCTTCAGAGGGTTTCCTGCTGGAGTGGTGGCTTTTGACAGGAACCGGTCTCCAAGGTGGGCATGTCCTCTACAAACCTAAAATTGAGATGGAATTGGCAATGGTAAAGCTACAAAGGGAGGCAGGCCCTCCCTGCTTTCACAAACCCCATGCTTTCAGAAGAGGGTGGCATCATTTCTGCAGAATGCTTCAGTGGCCTCAAATAACACACTGAACTGTCAGGCACAAACCCAAGCGATGGCGTGAGCCAGCTCTGAAATAATGAGAAGCTGATCTACAGCTTTTCCCCTCTGGTTTATTAAATGAATGCTCCACATGCCACTTCCCACTGACTGGAGACAGAGCAAAAATCCCAGGACAGTAACTCATCATCCTTTCTTCCCCTGAGAAGATTCAAGGCTGTAGCTATGTATGGATGTTGCAAAGTGATAAAGTTGCTGCGGCTTCGCGAGTTACCACGCACCGCCTGAGCTGCGCTGCCTGACCGCGCACACGCTGCCGGCTCCCTGCGACTGGGTGGTAAAACATGTTCACTCACGATGGGGCTGGAGCAGGTACTCCGGCAGCGGGCTCCAGATAAGCACGCTCTGTTGATAAGCAGTGCCTCATTAGGCCCCGGGACTCAACCGCTTGCAGAGCAATCCTTGGCCCAGATGTTCCTCTTCTTTTCAAGTCGTAGGCTTCAGTCACGGAACTGGCAAGGGGACGGCGCTCTGGGAAAGCGGTCAATATCGAATTAATCCTTGTATGTAGAATGGAGAGGAAGAAGAGTCCAGATCTGTGCCAGAGAGAAGGAATAGAGAAGGATCAGCCAACTGTAATGCTGAGTACAGCCTCAGCAGAGCTGTGCCTGGGTGAGGACGTTGCAGATGACACGTGGAGATGACCCAGGCAGTGAAACTGGAGTGCTCTGAATTCTCCTGGGATCAGAGTCCGTGGAGAGAAGTTACATCACCGTTTGTGCTTTCCAAGACTGGAGCAAGGTCTTGCCCTGGGCATGATCGAACGTAAAAAACATGCCAGGCCCCTTGACTCCAGTAAGCAGGACCAGACCTTCTCTTTGGCTTCATACCTCAAAAAAACAGTGTTTCTTTGGAGGTCCTGCTCCTTGCCACCACCTAGAAGCCGAGTGCCCTCTTGCCTGAACCATGGTTTGGCCTCAAGGCTCAGGAAACTGAATCCAGACACAGCTCTCCAGGACCTATTCCAGCTCCATCTTCCATCTTCCATCCCACCATAAGCATCTGCATTGAGGGGACACATTTTCTACTTATTTTCAATCCTCATGCTGAAGGCAAGCAGGACACTCTGCCATCCAACAGGAGGTCAGGCTTATATGCTCATCTGTAGTTGTCTTGGAGATCACGGCTTGGGGAGCAAGCAGGGGATAAGCACAGATGCCTTAAGGGAAAGCATCCGATGACAGCTTGAGTGGTGGGACAAAGTGTGACGTGTGTTTGTTTAGATAGCCAAAGGACTTGGAACAAATGTCTGTGGCTCATGTTTTAGATAAAAGGAACCCAGACTTGTGAAGGTATCAGGGGGGATGGTGAGAAAATGCTTATCAAGAATCCCTTGGCCCCCAGACCCTTTTATAATAGAATCAACTATAATACAAGGAACAATAACAACAGAAGAAAGTTTTCACATCTCAGAGATGCTCACTTCTTTCTGAACCAGGATATTTTTGGGATCCCAGCAGCAAGATCAGTGATAGGGGCTACAAATCTGGAGTTACCTGTGGTCCATGAACCAAAATCTTGGGGCGTTTTGCCCCTGAGTGCCCTGTGTTTTGCTCCTTGTCTCCCACCTGACCCACCACTGCTGCTTGGCTGGGAGGGGAGGGAAGAGTGGGACATGGTGGTGCCAAGGGGACAGGGACTGCCGCATCCACATCCATCTGGCATACTGAAGCAGAGACTGAAGGAAAAGGAAGGAGGGGGAGGGTAGAAGAGAAAATCCCAAAGATCCTCGGATAATAAGCACCATTAAGGTTAGTCTGTCTCATGATTGTTTCTTATTAAAAAGAGACTGTACTTTATCTGTGCAGGATATGCTGTTTGGATGAGGGAATTAGCAGAGTGACTGCCTCCATATCATCTAATTAGCAAAAATGTTGATAAGCAGATACAATCACATATGATTAGGATCCTTTTAAAAAGCCACTCCATTAATTAAATAGACAGAAAGGCCGCCTCCAGCCCTCGCGTGCCACTGATTAGAATACAAATATTTACACTAATCTCACCTCCATCAGCCATGGGACACTTTTGAGTATTTTTAGTGACATCAGATTACTATTGATTTCCATCCCCAATGTCAGACCATTTTGTTAGTATCTGAAAGTGCTGCCTTCAGTTTCGGATGCTTTAAATCATGTTAAGGGTTTATCTTAATGACGCTGCTGATAACCACTGTTCAGGTCACTCGTACTTTCTCTTCAAAGAACACAGTCTGGGCTGGTTTTTATTGTTTGTACTTGAGATTTGAGATACGAAAAACATTTCTCATTTCAAAGCCTTGGTTTCTAGGGATGGGGCTGCCAGGCTAGTTTGGGTCCAGTTACTTGCAGTGTGCATGCCTCTCCCATTTTCCTTTCTCTCCATCTCTCCTCGACCCTTTCTTTCTTCCTTGCAAACCCTTCTGGCTCACAACAGTGGTCTCTGTTGGATGGCTGCTAATCTCCAATGCCTGCCTGCTGTAGGCAGCAGACAAACAGGCAGTGAGTGTCCCCCGCTACAGGATGACAGGAGAAAAACACTCCCTATGTTTTAGATGGGTAGGACACACTAAATCCAGGACAGATAATCTACTGCGCCAGCAAGTCTGATAGGCACTCTGCAGCGAAAGCAAGTCCTGGAGGAGATGCTTTGCAGAGACAGCCCAAGGCAGGGCCACCTCCTTCCTTCCGTGCGCAGCAGATAACAAGCCTGGGAGCTTCCAATAGGGCTCTTTCACCTGTTTCTGACATCCCATTTTCACTTCTGGGTAGCAGAGAGCAGGAACAGCAATTGCTCCTGAAGTTTCTGCCAAGCATCTACAAAGAGATCACAGTGGCAGAGGATAGGAGAATGCTGCACCTTTTGGTGGCTTGTGGGTGGGAAGCCTGGATCATCCTCAAGTCCAGTGTACAGTCGGCCTCCAGACCAGCACTGCACTGCTTAATGGCAGCCTCTATCACAGGGCCAGAATACAGTGAGTACCTCCATAGTGCTGCCTCATCATTGACCAAAGAGGAAACCAGCCCAACAAAGCCCTTCCTCAGTGCCCATCATCTCCAACACTTTTCTTTCCTCCTTCACCATACTGCTTTCTACAAGCTGACATGGCTCCCTCTTGCCATCATTGCTCCACACTTACAATGTGTGTTAGAGCAGCAGTGGGCTCATGTGCTGTGCATACACTCTCTGGTATGATCAGCTGTTTACTCCTTCCCAAAGTGTGGAATAATGGAAATGAGGGCAGTGATCTGCAACCCACACTGCCATTAGTAGGTGTTTATGACAGGGTTACAGACAGCTGAGTTCTCATTGTTGGCACTTCCTTGGAGACCTCCTTCATGCAATGATTCCCTGCAAAGATATTGCATTTCCCACAGGAATGACAAAACCAGGGAATAGAAACAGATGCAGGAAAACCTCACACTGGATCAGGGAGTTCAGCTCCTCAGACTGAACTTGCCAGTATTGAGCTTATGCAGCATCCCTGCTGTACCTAAGCCAACTATCCCAAAGAGCACATAGAAAAGAAGCTAAGGTTGTTAATGAGCTTCATTCTGGACATTTATTTTGGTGCTATCATGGGAGCTAAGTTCTTGCAGAGGTATTAGGTCTGGGCATAAATATACATTATGGTCATCTAATCATTATTTTAGGTGAAAAGGTCCACTTTGGGTTTAAAAATGGACACACAAGGAGGTTGTAGTAATTCACTACCTTCACTGTGTAGGATATGCAGCACATTAGGAGTTTTAACTTGCTAGTGCCACCTTCCAACTGCTTTTCCTGAGAGTCTGAAGACCTCTGTACCATCAAATCTCTGTTTTCATCCAGGGTCTTACAGGATATGATGAAGCTGGTGTTGAACTTCCTCTTAATATCAAGAAAATTTCCCCGAGCATTTCACTCCAACACAGCGTGTTTTCCAAACCCCTGATCACATCTTAGGGCTCTTTCCTGTGCCTTCTCCAACTTACCAGCACTCTCCCTGAGCTGTGAATGGCTCTAAACTACAAACAGCTTCCCTGTAGCTGCTGCTGTAGGGTACTAATGTCCTATAGAATTAACATGACCTGATGACATTACACTTCTCTGGACTGCACACAGATCTATACTCAGTATTTAAGAATCCCACTTTTGGGCAGGCAACACAAAAACTGATCTGACAAAGCCGTACATCAGAGATATGATATTGCAGCTACGTTGGACAACTGCGTCATGTACACAACCAACATTTAAGAGCATAAGGCCAATGGCAACCAACTCCACCCCAGAATGTGGTTTGATCACCTGAGCAACAATTGGCTGAATGCGCTCTGAGGTCACAATCTCACAATCCGGGAACAGCAGGCTTCAAAAGGAACAATCCTGTAACACGGGACTCAGATTCCTATGTGGTCCTGTAACACCGAAAGACAAAGCAGAGCAAGGGATGAACTGAGCCTGACCCCAGGCAGTGCAGTGGCAGTGGGTGTCCAGGAGCCTCTGGGTGCAGGACATCTCCAGGCTTCGTATCTGTGGTGAGAGAGAGGTGCCAGGCTACTTCCAAGCAGTCTCAGCTCTCTCCTGAGATGGTGGATTATTACAAAATCCTCGAATTGCAAAAAAGTGCCTCCCAGGATGATATCAGGAAATCCTACCACAGACTGGCACTAAAATGGCATCCTGATAAGAATCTCACCAACAAGGAGGAAGCCGAAAATAAATTCAAAGCTGTCACTGAGGCATACAAAATTTTGTCTGACCCTCAGAAACGATCACTCTATGACAGATCTCTCAAGGAAAGCCAATCCCACATAGGAAGAAGAGCCACGGGGGACCATAACAACTTCTTTGATATCGCTTACATATTCCAAGACCCCGAAAATATCTTTAGGGAAGTCTTTGGAGGGATGGATCTCTTCAACAACATCAGAAACAGTGGAAGAGGAAGCAGCTCCAGTTTGTATTCTGGATTGATGCAGTCCTTTATGCCATTTACTTCATTCGGTCACAGTGGGCAGACCATCTTCTCCTTCGTTGAGGAAACAGCTGGGCCGCGTAGTTTCAGATCAGTCTTAACCTCTACTGAAGTGGTCAACGGCAAGAGGATCACCACCAGGAAGATCATTGAAAATGGGCAGGAGAAGATAGAAATTGAAGAAGACGGCCGGTTGAGGTCTGTGTCAGTAAATGGAAAAGACCAGCTGAAGCTGTAATGTCTTCCAGCGTACACATCAGATGCAAGGTGTGGGACATGCTCTCATTGCTCAACAAATGGAATCTACCGTGAGCGGTGTTAATAAAAGCTGAGTTCGTGGCACAACTGATGTTAGCTTCTGAACAGCCTGGAACAAATTACTGACAGGTAGAAATAAGGAGTTATGCTAAACTAAGGAGAGGAACTATACTGATTTTATGTAAGGTGATATATAGTGTTTGGTCTGGAAATACATAGTAAACATACACTAAACACACACAAGAGCTACTTTGCTTGTTTGTCAGAGGCCAAGTAAGTTAGTACAGCAAAAGGATAGTTGATGAACAGGTATGAGGGCTATATGACAAGCTGGAGGCTCTCCTCCCACCCCCTGAAATTGACCCTTTTTAAATTCCGAGCCTGCTAGCCAGAAGAATAAAGGCTCTTGTCTGACTGTCATACACAGTCCTGAGGCTGAGTGAAGGGTGTCCTGCCTTTAGGCGCTGGAATACAAGATATATTCATTGAAACATTTTTTGTACACTAGCAAGAAAGTAGGGGAGGTTCAGGGGTGATGAAGAGCCCTCTCCCCCCTCCTCTTTATCTAGTGAGGATGTATCAAGCTGTAGCCCAATATGTAGTAAGGAGAGGGATTGCCATGGGAAAAAACAAAGGGAGAGTTTGGTGA